TTATATATACACGTATTATACGTAATCAGGGCGGTCACACGATTTAAAGGCGAAAATCTCCGAAAAACAAAAAGATATACGCGCGCGTGAAGGTTTTCGATTTTACGCGAGGGTTAAAAAAAAAATATACGTATGATTAAGAGAGACATCCGATTATAATATAACGAGATTATCGATTTTTGTGCACGTAGTTGCCGAGAAAATACAAATTAAATTGTTAGAACTTTTCAGCGAGTTTCGATCGATTACGAGGCGCAGATTGCATTACCGGCTGAATAATGATGTACTCGCGTGTATGTAATAATACACTCGGTGATCGTTACGTCTTATTCATTAATCTTAATTACTTGGGATTTGCTGTAAGCTCACGATCGTGCATCGCGTCGCGCTCTCGTGATTGATTATGGCTAATCGATACGTCGTTAATCGGAAGCGTTTCGATCGACGTCGCTCGACTTTCGACAAAGATGTCGTGTAACTCGCGTCAGCTTTTACAGCATTGGTGCTCGAATAACCTACCGAAGCTTCGACGTTCGCGAAATTTTTCATGTCGATCGAGAGGAATAAATAGATCAGAATCCTGCCCGAGAATCATATTTTTTTTCTTCCTCTTCGAGTCGAGCAAACTCCAAGAAACAGACAGCTGTCATAATCTGACCGGATACACGATCGCGTTCCATCCTCCGTCTTATCATATTCTCGTAAATATTTTTCTACATAAGCTTTATTTAAACAAGTATTTTTTTTTCGTCTTTATCCGCGTACCCGAACGTGTGTTTTATACGCTCGTTCGACAGCTGCTGCTGTTGCTGTTGCAGGTCGAGTAATAATAATCGCAGAAATTTCCGAAACGGTATGTATATACGCATACGCGTACGAGAGGCCGACAGTTGGGTTGATACGGAAATCGCAAGCTAAATTCTAACGTCCTGCAGTCGGTACGCATTTGCGTACACGGACACACACACACGCGCGCGCGAGCGTATAATACGTAATCCCCATATATACATACACACATAGCACGAGGCAAGTGTCCTGCTCGGCCTCGAGAAAAACCGCAGTAACGCAGAGCTGCTGCTTACAAATACTCTCTCGCTCGCGCGAATTACAATTCCCATCGCTTTTAATTTTTCGATAAAAAAAAAAGAATAATAAAGAGAGTGAGAGAGAGAGATACAATAGCTTGTCTGCTCGCGGTGCGGCAATAAGGGAAAAACATTAACGCGAAAACGGGTAGTATGTATAGCGCGCAGAAAAAAAAGGTATGTGCGTGTGTGTAATATAGAGAGTGAGTGAGTGAGGCACACGGACCAGATGGGGTGATCCGTGAAGTATATATACATGCTATAGCTATGTATGCGTGTGTGTGTGTGTATATATAGACGCGGAACCGGAGCGAGCGAGCGAGACAGACACGAGGCAGGTGCGGCTCGATGTGTCTGTCGTTGAATGACTTCTCTATGCCAGCGAGTAACAACATACGATATATATAGATATAATACTTGGCTCGAATAGTCACAGCAGTACGTACAGCCGAAAAGTCAATCGGTTTATTATCACTATATTTTTTCTCGCTGATCGCTAAAAAGAAAAGATCGTCACCGAAAAATCTGTCTATATTTCCTCGTGTGCGCGTATTATGCGCCTCGCGAATCGGAAGAAAACACAACCATTATGCGCGTTTACACTGCAGCTCCAACCGGAGAAGCGTGAGAACAGGGCAAAAATCGCTCGCCGCGGCTCTCGGGCGCGTTAATAATACAATGTGTATTATTACGGCAATGTATATATGTCCACATTGCATTATGTACACATTGTGTGTGTTGCGTGCAGTTTGGGCTGAAAAGTCTTTTAAACTGAAAAATTTTTCGGGGGTATACTTGTATACATGGCCGCTTCCTTATGTACATATATGTATAATATGCACAATGCCGTAATACACGTGCGCGCACGCGTTACATACACTTCCCTCCTTCTTTCGACGACGAGTGTGTATTTTTTTCGGAGAGTCGCTTATCGCGATTAACCTGACGTCGTCGTCGTCGTGGGTTCAATGTCTCCTTCGTCTTCTCCTTCTTCTTCCATGCGTGCTCGAACCAACCTGCTCTCGTTGACACCCCGTCTCTCTCTTTCTCTCTCTCTCTCTTCCAAATAAAGTTTATATGCCCGCTATACGTTAAATTTTGAGAAATCATCGCTCGTTATGCGCCCTTTCGGAGCTCGACGATTGTCAACGAGCTCGTTTCGCGTCAACCTTCCTCTCTCTTTCTAAGATCTGCTTAGACTTAGATATAATACGTCATACACGGGAAGGAGCTATATACAGAGAGAGATAGATAGGCGCAATAAACTCGCTAGGTCGTAAAAAGCTCTAGAATAATTAAATTATGCCATTTACGCGCATTACTCCAGAGCACATATAGGAGGCACAGGAGTCCAACCCCCGTTCCTGCGATGCGCGCACGTATATCCTTAGAAAGGACGTATATACAAAGTTGCTTGCGATGAAAAAAAAGAAGAAGAAGAAGAAGGAAGAAAAATAAAGCGCATATCCATGTATATATACGTACGTATGTATGGAGAGCAGGTATATAACGCACGAAATGCAAGCGGCCCCGTTATGTAAATCAGTATACTTTTTTTTTTTTGCACTCTTGCGCGCACACACACACACACGTATATATATACATACATGCATGAACGCGTGCGGCGGCGCAAAACGCAAACGCACCCCCCTGCGTGTGTGTATGTACGAGCTGCTAGGAGCGCGGCGAGGAACCGTTAAAAAGTTGAAACCCGCTGCTGCTGCTGCTGCTGCTGCTGCTGCGTATGTATGTGTGTGTACGCACAGAGGAGGGTAGTTCGAAGGAATCGGGTGCTTTAAAAAAAAAGAGAGAGAGAGAGATTGAATGTGTATATATACACTGTGTTGAAAAGAGAGAGAGAGAGAGAGAGAAGGAAAAAAAAAGAGGAACGCGATTCCCATAGGACATCCCTTTCTCTCGTTCGCTCGTGTATATATAATATATATAAAAACCTCGGGCCTCGATTATATTTTTTGCAAGCCGGTGTTCTGCGCGCCCGAGCAAGTTAGATTTCTTTTGATATCACGAAAGTCGGCTCTCGCTCGCTCTATATATATAGGTACCGAATGAAAAGAGATTCATGGGAATCGATGATACACTTTTATTGTATATAATATAGGGCTGATCGTATTCGCGTAACTTTACGTAATTTTTTTTTTACTCTTCGCTATTCGATACGAAAGAAAAGCATTACGTGAACGACGATTACGTTGCAATCGTATGTGTACGTTATAGCGACTGTATCGATCCGACGCTCGAAACGAAAATTCCGTTATATAGATTTCGCCGAGTTACGTTACATCGCGGGCGCAAAAAGAAGAAGAAGAATAGGAGGAGGAGGAGGAGGAAGAGGAGGCGCAGAAGAGGCGAAACGAGTTCACAGTCGAGTCAGCTCGACCCGCTAACCTTTCCGATACATATACACGTATATCGTACATATGTGCGCGCGTGTGTGTGTGTGCACATGCACACCTTATGCTCGTTTTGCGCCTCATCAGCGATTCCGCAATTGCACACATACACACGCGTGCTATATCGTGTCCCAGATATACACGGGTGTAGAAACACACACACACACACACACACACAGACACGCGTTCTGGCTCGCGATCGTTGATTAATAGTCCCTCTGGATCGACGAGGCGTGACAGCTTATGTATGAGTATATGAAACGGCAAGTGCATGCCATACATACACACATATACGAGACTCGCTTATTAAATGCACTATAATATTTTCGTATTACTACGGCAATATGTGCGCCGTATGTGTGTGTGTGTGTGTGTGTGTATACAAGACGTGACCGGACATCACCCACTGCGGGTGCTGTATAAGACAGGCACGCACAGCAGTGAGTTTCTTTTCTTATATGCCTTTTCGAGGCGCGCGTTTTTAATGCTCCATTAGCAAAGGACGAGGACGACTACGAGGCTCAGGTGCGTTTCACCTGTCCTCTGTATAGAGCGCGCGCGCGCGCGAAAAATATGTACATAATACGTCGGTATATAGCATTAGCCTTCCCGTATGTCTTCGACTGCTATGTAGGTACATATATACAGTCCTCGTCTTCTCATTCTTCTTCTTATACGCGCCGTCTTATTTTTTTTTTCGACTTCGCGGCAGGTGGCGTTCGACCTGCGGCCTTAAACGCGTCGTTTTTATAATATTATTGCGAGCTAAACAATGTTATTCGCCTCTCTCGGCAAACGCGATAATTACCCCCGGCGCGCACGAGAGAGAGAGAGAGAGAGAGAGAGAGAGAGAAAAGGAGGATTGGATGCGCGACGCGACGTGTGCGAGGGGGTAACGAAACGATAACGCCCCGAAAGAGACAACGACGAAACGTTGGGACTTTTGAGTCGAAGCTTCTTCCTTGACCGACTTTCGTGAGAAATTTTGGCCGACTGCGTCCTCCTCTCTTTCTCTTTATCGGCCCGATCCATCTTCCTCTTTTCCTTTGCTCATTTTTTTTTCGAGGGTGTGCGTACCTGCCGCGTGTACGTAGTAGCTTCTATTGTTGCGTTATAAATACTTTGAGAAAGCGGAAGGTCGCCAAAAAGACGTTGCATGTCCTTCTCCTTTTTTTTATTTTTTTTTAGAATAATAGAGGATGTCGTTTAATGTACCTGTGCGCGCCTTTATACACTGCGTGTGTGTGTGTCATCGCGCGCGAGAGAGAAGTTAACGAGTCTCTCGTCGCTGGACATAGCCCTCACTTCACGGGAATGAACGAGTGTGGGTGGGTGAATACACGTTGCGACATCGTAACGTCTTTTGCGGTCGGGACGGTTTCTCTCTTTTAACTATTATACGTATGATGAACTCGCGTCGACTGTTAGAGAACGTCAATTAGCCTTAGAAATTCAACGGACATCGTATTCTAATTTTGCCTTCCTCCTTCGCTTCCTATTGCAGAACCAAAAATGCTCAAGTGGACGGTCTCGCGATCTCTGTCGCAAGCGAGCTCGACGCCACATGGACCGGGCGGAGGTGGCGGCGGGGTCACCAATAACAAAGTCACACACAGCAGACGACCGTTTCGCGACCTGTCCAACACGCCACCAGCGGCGAGCGGAGGAGGAGGAGCGCCGAGCTCGAGGCTCAGCGGTGGTCATCATCGAGTTAAAACGACGAGCGCAGCAGCTAACGGTGACAACAAGCCGTCGCTCAGGTCGATCAAGAAGACGCCCTCGAGGCGCCAGAGGCGGTGTCGCAGCCAAGGCAGCGATCTGCGCGGTTACTTTCACGTGAGTATTTTATTTAACGATGAAAATGATTAGACGAATGAAATTCCGATCCTGTTGCAGGCGACCAAACCAAATTTGCGAACGGGAAAGCGTAATTCCCTGACGCAGCGTAACAGTAGTTCACCCGTCGTGATAGACGGTTTTTACCAAAGCACACCGAGGGTCGATGCCGACATCGGTCCCCTCACCGTATCGTACCCGCAGCATCAGCGCTCGACGACGTTGTCCTCGTCCTCGTCCTCGTGCTCGTCCGCGTCGCTGGCCATGAGCTCGTCGCAGGCCATGTCCTCGACGCTGATGACGACGACCCTGCCCGTGGACCCGCAGACTCTGCTGATCGGCAGCTGCTTCCCGAGTAGTCATCAGCAGCCGACGACGATGACGCTGCAGTCGCACGTGTCGGACTTCTTTCATCAGATCAGCATGGCCACCAGTCCCGAGGACGTCATGGAGTTCGAGTCGTTGCGCTTCGACCGTAACAACAGACTCGCCGCCAGGACGACGAGGTTCACCAGTCATAACCATCATTACAATCAGCAGCACACGCCGCACTTACCAAAGCACCAAGCGAGATCGGCCAAGCTGAGCTCGCGCACGGATACGCCCTATCATCTCGTGCACGACGACAGCGAGAGGAGGAGAAAGCAGCTGATGCCGCTGCCGCCGGTGATTCATCGCGGAAACGACGAGATGAGGATGGAACAGGACGAGCAGGTGGAGGAGGAGGAGAGAATATACGAGGAGATCCAGGAGACACCCTCGAAGGGCAAATCGTCGGGGACGAAGCTCGAGCGGAATAATAAGCCAAATAACTTGTACGAGGATGTCGATAGTCTTCGCAATAGGTATTTATACGGCTCAATATTTTCTTTCGTAAGCGTATAATAATATATCGAGTCAACCCTTTCCGATCGATACCCTCCCCTTTTTATATTATATATCAGATTCAACCCCCTTCTATCGATTGGTATATTACACGCATAAATCACATCCCTTAACCGGCGTATAATAATTCACACGCGTCGCAGGATAAAGAATCGTCGGCCTCAGGAGCTGCCCAAGGACGCGTTAGCGACTCACCGCGACGACGACGACGAGAAGGAGAACCAGGAGGTGCCGGAGGCGGAACACATCTACGAGACGATAGACGAGCGGCCGGTCGACGTTGTGTTCGGGGCGCGACGCTCGTCCGTCTGCCTCATGCGACCCAAGCACAACGACAGCAGCGTCTCGTCGGCCAGTCAATTGCTCGACGACCCGTCGCCCACGACCTGGATGGTCTTCAGCTCGCCGCCGAGCTCGCCCAACGACGACGACGACGACGACGTAATCGGGGAATTTCCCCTGAAACGGCAGCGAGTCATCAGGCGGAAGAGGACGCTGCCGCAGGCGAGCAGCAACTCGGTGGCCAAGAGGCCGAAAATGGGCGAGGAGTTGCCGCTGATCGAGGCGGTCAACAGGCACGTGAAGAGGCTCGCCTTGGAGACGGATCTGGATCTGTCGACGACGATGAAGCAGGACGAAGGACAGACGACGATGCAGGTCGACGACGAGCCGCAGGTAACGATGGATCCTCCTAAATTGGTGACCCCGATGCGACGTTTCTTATTTTCTAACCAACAATAATTCTCAGGCTCAACGAAAAGAGGAAGACGCCAAGGAGACACGTCCCATCGAGAGCGGACGAGTCGACGAGCGTCGCCACGGCTGCGTCATCGACGTGGACGAGCCCCAACAACAACAACAACAACAACAGCAGCAGCCACAGCAACAGGAATCGCCGATAACCAGTAGGAAACGCTGCCCGATCAACATCGTGAACGGCGGCGGCAGCCACGCGTGGCAGAGTCCCTGCAGCAAGTCGTCCTCGCTGGCGCTCATGATGAGCGCGGTGGACTCGTTCGCGACGCCATCGTCCTCGGACTCGGAGAGATCGTCACCGTGCAGCGGTCGTCGGACCGCAGCGGCGGTGGCCATGATCAGTAGTCACCAAAACCACCAGTGCAGCACGCCCGAGGCCACGCCGTTGGTGGCCACGGTCAGGCGCTGCCTCGAGTACAGCCCCGAGACGCCCAGCGAGTACGGCAGCGGCAGCAACACCCTGAGAAACGACGAGGCGAGATACGGCGGCATAGGCTCCATCGAGGTCGAGTGCTCGAGCGCCGACGATCGCATAAGCGTCAAGAGTGAGTATATATAATATAAAGACAGACTCTTCGCTTTCTTTTCTTTTCGATGATCTTCTCCTCCGGTCGAAAAATCAGAAACTTTTTGGCTTCCGTGCGCGGCAGCGACAAAAGTTTCTTTCTTTTCTAAAAGGGCCTCCAAAAGCGTAAAGTTATACACGTCGCAAGGACGACCGAGCATTGTGTGCTCCTTCTCTCTCTCTCTTTCGCTTTTTAACGCAAAAATATAACGCGAAAAAGAGAAAAGAATAATCGTAACGTAGAGCACCCCGAAAAAAGCCATGTAGCTTAGAAGTAGCAGCAGCAGCGGTGGCTAAACAATTTTGCAAATATCGCGCGCGACCAGCTAAGCGTATATATATATACGCATTTACATGTCTTAGATGACGATTAGCATGTGAAAAGGATCTCTGCCCTTGCGTAATGTAAGGCTGGTACTTGCTTTCTCTTTCTCTCTCTCTCTCTCTTTTTTTGTCTTTCTCGTCTTGTCCTTGAGATTTTGCAAGCCGAAGCTATATATATAAGCTGAGCAAAGCAAGCAGCGGCAGTTTTTTTTTAACGTAATCTCATATTGGAAGGCTATACTAGCTTCGACCCTTTCTCTCGTCTTCTCCACTTTTTTTTTCCAGTTTCGCCTCTTACTTTTCATTGTCACCAGGTCGTATAAAGAGGGTAGTAATGTGCACGCTCGTGTGTATATATGCTGCACGTATATAGGATTCTACCTGTCTCTTCTCCCGTTATAGCTCGAAAAATCCCATTTATCTTTTTTCTAAATCACTTTTGGCCCTTGCAGCATACACGGTATAATAATATATAATAATACAGGGGTGTGCATTTGCATTTACTTCTCTCTTCTTTTTTTTTTCTTCTTCTTCTTCTCGTTGCCGTGTGTATACTTTTTACGTTTTAGCCTCGTATTATGTACGTTTTGAAAGTCGTCGTCGTCTTTCCTCGGGAGCAGCAACCGTAAAAGCTGTATTGATTAACTTCAGTTAGCGATGCGGATGACGAGTGTGCGTGTGTATATACATTATGTATGTATAAATAGCATAAACAGGAGCTTTCAATTGCGAGGATATCCTTTTCACTACTACTTTTTTTTTCTTCCTCTCTATCTCTTATTTTGCATTTCTCAACTGGTGCATATAATGAATGTGCGATTGCTCGAACGATTCGAATAATTCGTAATTCCCATCGCGCGCGTACGTCACTCGTCGTCGTCGTCGTATAATATGTACAATTATCTCGCGCGTGAAATTGAAATTAATTTTTCCACTCCAATTTCTTTTCCCCTTCTCCTTATTATCGAACGATTAATCGACCCGAGAATCAAGTTCAGTTTCGTATCATCCCTCTCTCGTATCAAAATCCCTATACACTACGGGTGTATACGTATATACCATATATAGTTGGCAGGCGCTGCTGCCTGTCCCTGTACTCGTAGGTGTACGTAAAATTGCCGCGGCGCAGGCGCTTTAAAGCCCGCAGAGACGTTGATATACGGGGTATAGGAGCAGAACCTCGTCGATTTCAAGCCTCCCGTGCGCGTGTATGTATACTGCTGCCGTCCCCTGCAATGCACACCGCACAGTTGGCAGCGCGCACGCGGCGGACATGCGCCCCGCGTCACCACCGTCGCCGCCGCCGTCGAGACTATAGAAAAAAGTTATATTTCTGCTGCACTCTCCCCCCTTGGGCTCTCTTTCTGTCCATATAGCCTCGACGAGCTCCTCTGTATTACCAGCCGCGTTATCAGTGGCAGCAGTAGCAGAAGCTCAGTGTAGCATCAGTGATAGCAGCGAGGCCAAGTACCGTACTGTACTGTACTGTACGTAGTGCGCGAGAGGCTGTGCGTCTCGTCGAGAGCCTCCCTCGATTCCAAGTTATTTATTTATTGTAATTTATTACCAGTGGAGACAGAGATAGAGAAGAAGATGTAAAAATGTGAGACGCTGAGGTGCGTGCCAGTGAGTGTCGGTGCGCGAGAGCGAGTGTGCGAATCGCTCGAGCTATTTCTCTCTCTGTCAGTGTGCTCCACATACATACGTATATACGTTTTCGGCTATATAGCTGCAAGCTCGCTGCGCTGGGGCTGCAGCAGCAGCAGCAGCAGGACATCCATCCGTCCACGCGCGCCTATGCACGGACGCGGAGCTTTTTAGCTGCTAGTCCAGTCTCGATCCATCGATCGTTGGTATATATTATAAAATACGTGTGTGTCGTTAAGTACTCGTGCAAAAAGTGTGTGCATGTGTGCTCTTTGTGTCGGTCGAGAGAGAGAGAGAGAGAGAATGACGAAACTCTCTCCCTGCATCTCGATACATGAATACGTACACAGCACGTGTGTGTATGTGTGCTAGCTATGCTGTGCTGCGTACACGAGTACGGCGCAGTGATACAACAGCCACTAGCCCCTTCGCGGAGAACGTGTGTTGGTGCGCCTAGAGAGACTGCAGAGGTAGGCCATATCTACATGTATAGTATCTAACGTGCGCGCGGGAGAGGGGTGAGATATCCGTAGTCTCTCTCTCTCTCTCGCTCGTCGACGAGACAATTATCTTTCGGCTATTGTTCTCAGCCAAAAGCTTCGCGAGCTTTAAAATCGACAGTATGAGATTATCGAATCTCTTTTACATGTATGCGAGGCAAAAAATTTTCGAGCAGCATCGATCGAGCCTCTTGGAAAAAAGTTTAAAAAATAAAACAAGGAAGAGTGAGAGAGAGGAAAAACTCGTTAGTAAAAGCGCGCGTATGTGTCGCGTATATAACAGCGCAATCACATGAATATAGAAAGGGATCGGTCGCAAGCTCGACTTTAATCATGTAGCATATGATATATTATACAAGGGTTTAAGCCTCGGAGGCATGCACTCGCGTTGAATTAATTTTAGAAAACTCAAGCTTCGTTTACCGCGGTTTTGGTGTAAAATATTATTCGCTCGCCTCTTCGAAATAAAAAATAAAAATAAAAAATTAAAAAAAAATTGGTCGAGTATATAAAATGCAAGCTCGACGTGCAGGCAAACTTTTCTAGCTTGATCGATTTCGTGCTCGAGCACACATGCATGCGGTAGTAGCAGCAGCAGCAGCAGAGGCACACATTCGTTGCAGCCAAGCCGGGAGATAAGGAGGCTATAACACATGCAGCTCGAATTCAAGTGGAGCACACATACACGAGCTCGAAACTTCTATAGGCTAGATCGGATAAATAATTCGGCTATATGTACTCGTTCGATTGATACACTTTTTTTTCTCTCTCCCTCCCCCCTTCTCGTTACCTTATGTAATCGCGTGGTACGAGCACGATCACTGCCACAGATATATATATGTCGAGCTTTCGGCACGAGGCTTATAGACTTGGGCGAGATACAACGAACGTAACTGAATTAATTATTCGTTCAAGCTCCGATATTATAGCCAGAAAAAAAAGAGAGAAGCGGCTCGCTGGCCCAGTCGGGGCTCGCGTATATATAGCGATATACATCTGGAGCGAGAAAAATTTCATTATAAATACTTGGCTAGCTATATGGGGGAGGGATCGGCGCGTTTATAAGCTGCATCGATCATGTCAGCCCTATTAATGCCGAGCGCATTATATATATAGAGCAAATACTTACTGGCTATAGATCGGAGCTATATAGATTCTTGACATCGTTTTCCCATTAACGCTCGGCGAGGAATCAATTCGCGAGTGTACGCGAGCTTTTATACGTGCGCGAGCTTTTTCGATCGCCTATATTCACCCCGCATCTCCATGTAATTCACTAATTCTTGTCTTCTCTGTCTTCTTCGTCGTCGCTTAGTAATCAGGTGTCGAGATCTGCGCCGGCCCGAGGGCCCGATCCACGCCTACGTCAAGGCCCACATCAAGGACTTGGCCAGCGGCGAGGCGCTCTGTCGCGTCGAGCGCACTGCCGTGCACCGGGCCACGCCGAATCCCGTCTTCAACGAGGTGCTGTGGCTCACCTTGCCGTCCAACAACAACAACAACTGTAGCAGCAACGATCGGGACACGAGCAGCAATAACAGCAGCAATAACAGCAGCAGTAGCAGCAACAGCAGTAGTAGCAGCAGCAGCAACGGCGTCAAGAGGCTGGCACTCGACATAGCCGTCTGGCATCGCGATCGCGTAGCGAGGTGAGCTTTAACGATACATAAAACGAATAGAACCGACGGTTTATATATATGTATATGGACGATGATGAATCGAAACCACGTGTTGAGCCTATACACAATGCATGTATATAAACGTACGCGTGAACTTGGACTGTATACGTATATAATACGCAGAAAAGAAAATAACGAGCGTAAGCCGATATTAATGCTTGATAAGTTGGCTTTCTTAGCGTCGACTTATGTATATACCTATACGCCGCGGAATAATAGCATTGATAATGTATGCTTTGCACGTACTACCCCGGCTCCGTGTGTGAGCTTGCGCGTATACGTGTATAATAACACGAAAACGTCAACACACGAGCGGGTACGCGACAATGAACACGTGTGTATAATAAGTACGAAAAAGCGAAAGCAATTGCGATTCGTTTTCAAGGCTTCGTTTAACGTATATATATGTAACGAAGACGGAGCTTATAACCGCGCGTACCGAAGAAAGAGGTACGGTTCGAAGGAGACAGCCGGAAGAGCTTTTAACGCGTTGTACACGATGATCGATACGATCGTGTGTGTGTGTGTGTCTGTGTATGCAAAAAGCAAATATAATGCAAATCTCTGACCTACATTTTCCTTGCGTACTTTTGCACACACAGCGCAAAACTAGCGGGGGAGAGAGAGACGGTATAGTATAGTACTTCTCGAGAATTGCGTTATATAGACGACCCTCCCGCCTTCGAGAAAATGGGGATTTGCGAGGAGCGCATATATGTAATATACGTGTGTGCAACTTCGCACAAACACAGTCGCGTGTCATGTGTGCATCGATCGGGCCATTGTACGTGTGTACGTGTGTGTGTGCGACATCGGCGCCGGCCGCCCGCGCGGCGCGCAAAAGCGCGACGATCGTCGCTCGACGGAGAAAGACGGAGCAGCGCGCGGGTATATGCAACGTTAAACGTGCACACACGAGCGCGCTCGCGAGAGAAAGGGAGAGGTTTCTCTCTGTCCGCGCGCTGGCCAGAGCTAGAGCTTAGTCGGCAGCCGATCATGGTGCGGGGCGCGCTCGATCTCGCTCGTAATAAATCGAGTCGTTGGATATTTTGTATAGTGGTGTATACGTGGCGCTTTGAAAATTTCTAAATGTGCGGTCAAAAGGTTTGCGGCAATTGGATGTCGCAGGCGACGATGACGAACACGGGCGCGAGAGCGAAAAATCGACGCGTCAAGCGCAGGGTCAAGTTCGCCAGCGACTTGCTGATCGTCGACGAGTCGTAAGTGTGTGTATAATGGTTCTGTGCGCGGTGATTTTGACATTCAAAAATGTAAAGAAGCTCAAGAATATTTCGATTCGATCGCGGCGTAAACAATATTGTTTTCGTATACGGGGGTTAGTACGTGCCTGGTAAATTCGAATTTATGTCGAGGCACGTTCGAAACGCGTATAAGAATCGGCACGAAACAAAACGAAAAGAAAGAAGGAAACGAAGGAGTGATTCGAATACAAAGTTTTCTCGAAACGCATTAAAAAGTAATATACGCGCGTGTATCTTGCAAGCTCGCTCGCAAACGATCCAAAGAGATCATTCGTGTGGCATACATTGAACGAAGAATGTAGCGCGCGCGCGGCCAAAGCCCCGAAAAAGGAAAATAAATAAATCCTACGAGCTTTGGGTGCGGATACCCACCGCGTTGGTGTGCGTGCTTGCAGCTATGTATAAGAGGAGGAGGAGGGTGGGGAATCGATTGGTATCGCGCGTAGGAGCTTGCGCAGTGTCCGTCCATGGTATATGTAAGGCGCCTCGTGCACACGTGCTCTCGCGATGCACGTCTATGTGTGCGCGCGCGTAAAATACAACGCGATCCGAGAAGAAACTGCTGCACATGCACATACGTATGCGCGCACGAAAGTGGGTGCGGGTTCGCTCGCACTTGCCGTATAGTAGTATCTCGCGCATTCCTTCCTATCGCACTATGCGGATATACGCGTATGCGTGTACGTGCATACACGTACATGGCTCGCGTCCGACGAAGATCGTAAATTTCATTTTTGTTTTCGTCGATGCCCTCTTACACGGTACATTATATGAATTATTATGCGCGTCGTGCGCGTCGCCCATAGCAGCTCATGTCGTATATCATAAACCTGTTTTTAGACTCCATTCTCTCTCTCGCTCTCAACGATCTAAATTATAAAAGAAGAGAGAGATGGAGAGATTTTTTTTACGACTCAAGTGTGTATCGTTTAATATGCTCGCGTCGCCAATGCTATGATACGTATGCATACGTACTCGGTGCATATATACACTATGTCGCGCATAATATGTATAACGCACGACGAAACGGAGGCAGGCTCGATTTTTATAACTCTTCGAGCTCGTATATACAATAACAAAAGCGAGGATACATTTTTTTTTACGTTCGCGCGCGTTACAATCGTCATTTACTCGGGACCAGAGATACGTATACGTACATAATGTCGCGATAATAATACGAGGTATATAAAAATGACTCGTTGCCTTTCTTCCTTTTTTATTTTTGAATCAACGCGCGTCGTCGTTACACTTTCGCCAGTACAGAGAGAGAGCTTTTATTGTCGTGATTATAACACGCGCATCGCGTCGCAATAATTTTGCATATAATTTGCAGTTTACGGCTCTCTCTCTCTTTTTTTTCATAACGGATCGGGAGTCGTAAACGCCTCTCGAACGATTTTTGCGCGCGCATTAATTTACGCGCGTATATCGTATAAAATTTTTATTTTATTAATTATATTAATTTTATGAATTCCATTGTGTTTACAGACGCAGCGAGCTGCTTGGCTGCATGACACTGCCGCTGCCGCTGTCCCAGGATAAGGTGAGAGCTTTTTTTACATTTTTTTTATCGTATTTATCATTTAAGTCCGTAGTCTTATGAGTAAAGCGCGCTCAAGACGAGATTTAACGAAATTGAGAGCTCGAGCGTTATGATATTATGCTTGGAAAATATCGTTATAAGCTCGACTTGCCTCAAGTCATATCCAATTATCGCGCTTATTATTCGTCTTATATATTGTATACATAACGTAGTCGCGTTATGTATACGAGCGAATTCGATCGAGCGTAATAAGTGACTTTACACCCTTTAGGTGAAGCTATAATACAATAAGCCGTTATTTTCGGTCTCTACTCTCGCGTTCGAGCGAGGAAAAGACAGGAAAGAAAGAGAGAGAGAACAAATCGCGCGACCGCAGAGGTAACACGTCGCGATCGCGGAAATGTTTTTTCTTTCTCTCCCTCTCGTTTTCCAACGCGAAACGATTATAGAATTGGAAAGCGTCCGGCGTAGCGTGTTGAAAAAAAAAAACAGGCGGATAGCTTTGGCGCGCGAATTCGTAAGACTTCGCACGGCAGTAGCGGACCAGGGTCAGGGCTAAGTTAATTACATCTATATAGATTTGTCCATCCCCGGCCGCGCGCGCGCGTTCGTCGTTAATGTCAGTCCGATATCTCGAATGACGCTCGATCGTTCGTCGATCGCTGCGTTGCGTTCCAATAACGTTTCAAAAATACACGGGACATCCAAAGTGTCTTCCCTCCTCAGTGACAATTCACAATCGCGCCCAAATGATAGTCGTCGCGATCTACTGCGTCGCGTTCCTCGTCGCCGGTGTGCTGCTCAAGATATTCATGGTTCTCTGACGGCAGGCCACTATCGGTGCTAGCGCGTACGGCCTCGCCGAGCGGACTCAGAACGACGATGAGCTGCAGCAGCAGCAGCAGCAGGAGGACGTTGTCGTGCAGCTGTCCGCACCGTCGTCGCTGCTGGTGGCTACGGACAGCGTCGATCGGTCGTGCGAGACGTGACGAACGTGAATAATTGTTTATTTATTTTTTTTTTTTTTTATAAGCGAGTGCGTGTTTTTTATCAGTGATAATAAATACAATGGAAGAGCCGGAAGTGTATCCTTATAGATATCAGCGCAAATGTCGCATGTATTATTCCGAAAACATATCGGTATATACATACACTGAGAAAAAAAATTCATCGATTCAATGAAATCTAATTTAATATTTTATTTACTATTGTTGGATGAAATAAAAAAGATTATTTCATAGATCGTATTTAATTAAATAATTTTATTGATTTTATTGAATCAATGAATTTTTTTTCTCAGTGTATATAATGCAGAAACTATAATGGTAAAAATATTGTGCATACACATGAACTAACTCGATTTCTCTATGGTCCGCTGACAGGAAGCGACATGGCACCCGCTGGAAGCCGGCCCAGGTCGCGCGGCAACCGCAGCAGCAACGTCGTCGTCGAGCATCGTCCACTCGCAGGACTCGGTGCGAGCCACCTCGCCCGCCAAGTCGGCAGCGTCGTCGTCAGCAGCCTCGTCGTCCGCAGCGTCGACAGCGATTACCGATCAGCATCATCATCATCATCAGAATCCGATGGTCATGGATCTGACGCTAGATAACACTAACGCCGTGAGCAGCAGCAGCGGCAGCACAGACGACCTGACGTATCTGCGCCACCTCGAGCTCGAGCCCTGCGATCCGCACACGGGACTGCCACTGCATCCGGGCTTCGCGGCGCGAGGCGGTCGCACCCCCTGCACCGTCACGCGCAGACTCGTCCGACATCCCGCCGCTCTTAATCAGGTACGACTTTTTTTTTTCAGTCCCATTATCAACCAAAAAACTCGAACGAGCGTGTACTGATGCGAAATTCGAAATTTCCCCCCCTCGCAGGTGGCATGGGGCTTCTCGCTGTCGTGGGGCCGACCGCCGCGGGTCGAGCGCGTCGATCCGGCCAGTCCGGCCGAGCGCTCGGGTCTGCGGCCCGGCGACTACGTCGTCTTCGTGGACGCGAGCAACGTCGTAACGCTGGCCCGCGACGACATACTCGAGCTCATCCAGGCGGCCCAGAGCCAGCTCGTGCTCGAGGTCTACAGGCGCGGCGGAGTGGCCGCCTTGGGCGGCGCCGCCACCTCGACCATGACTCTGAGTAACAATGCCGTCGTGCCGGCCTCCGTCCAACCTCATCACAGGCAGAGCATAATAGCTGCTGCGCCGCATCAGCAGCAGCAGCAGCAGCAGCAGCAGAGTAGTCAGTCGGCGGTCGTCGTCGCGTTCACGGCCGAGGTCGGTACTGGCGTAATCGTCTGAATAGCAGCGGGGACGGGGGGAAAAAAATTACTTTTTTTTTTTTTACGTATTCAATGTATTAGATTCATGTTTTAGATAGTATATATCGATGTTTTAGATGTTTTTTTTTTGTTCAGTTCTGTTCTGTTCTTCGTTTGTTCGAGATCAATTTTTGCGTTTTCTTGAGAAAAAGAATCGAGAAAAGAGAGAGAGAGAGCAAGTACTGAGGATCTAGTTTCGCAACGAGGCGAGAGATGCATGTATACGCTTAGAAATTAAAAGAAAATAATAATTGTTTGTTTAATTTATTAGTTCGTATATTATAGTGACTTGTTGAGGATATGTTTGAATAACGCCTAACACAGTTTGGAAGTTAATAAAGCGTTTGACGCGATGAACATTCAAACTTAAAAAAAAAAAAAAGAAAAAAAGGAAAGAAAAATTCAAAACTTTTCTCTCGGTTTTGATTTTCAAAATTTAGATACACTTTGTTTTCAACGTTTGTTTTTAGTAATTTTTTTCGTTATTCTGTATAAATTAGCACTAGTCTAGCAAAAAATTAAAGAAAAAAAAAAGGAAAAACGTCGATGACCATGATCGCACGTGTCCGGAAAACATAGATAGAAAGAGTATAAAAAAATTTGTTTGTTGCAAAAAAAAACAAAATTGAAAAAAAAATTAAAAAAAGGAAGAAACATTGAAAAGCATATTCTGAATACTTATAAGTTAATCGATCAACGGCACAGTATTTTTTTCTCTGTTCATCTTATACCTGCATTTATACGCGCGGGCTCAGGCGAATTTACGCGCCTGAAAACCATCCGCGCGATAATATACGTATTTTATATTACAACGATTCTTTTAGTCCACAAACCCACACACACATACATCTGTCAGTAAAAAAAAGTTGCAATAGCCAGTTAATATACCAATAATAGACTTTTATTATACAATAGATAATTCAACAAATAGACTTTCACACTTTATCAAACAGTTGCAATATTTTTAATGATCAACTCCGCATTTTCTCACTTTTTGTTGTTGTTTTTTTTTTATTTTTCATACATCAACCGAAAAATTTCTCTCAGCTCATCGACCAGTGAGTTCCACAATGTTTCTGTGATTCAGAATATAGCTTTCATTAGTTAATGTAATTGATATATCGTATATTACAAAGTCGGCATTTTTATCATATAAATCACATTATAAGTAATGAAAGATTTTAGTTTTTAATATTACGAAATCATCTGTGAAATATAGAGCAGTAAGTAATCCGTAGTGTGTTATGCTCGGGCTTATAGACACGCGCAAGTGCATATGCTTTATTTATGTATATTTATTCCATCATCGATTAAGATTCTTCAATTATCATTGAATACAAAGGCACTATACACATTCACACTTGATCATAATTTTTCTTGTACAAATGGCAGCTCACATTTTTATTACAATAGTACTTTTACGATAGAACAATGAATCTCCGATTATAAATATCCGCGATTGAAAAGAAAAAAAAATCTACAACGGCTTGCACGGAGAATCTTGAACAATTGTAAATACGAAAAAGTCTCTTTTCTTTCGTCTTCGTTGAAGTCGTGCGCAGACGCATTTTTTTTATATACGTAATACAAAAGCAATAAGAGCGAAAGCGAAATGAGAAGGAAGGAAAAAGACGTCGCGCGATCGAAGAGTTATATATTTAAGCCAATTCGGTGTAAATAGTATGTATAGATATATTTTATATTTATTTTGTGTACATATACGTAAATGCGACAGTCGACGGTCGAAGATTTGCTCGTGTTGTTTTTTTTTTTTCGTTCTGTTTTTTTTTTGTTTCGTTTAATCTCCGTCTCGCGAGGCTTCCTCACGGTCGCCTCGGTCACACACCCCTTCGATCGTATCCATTATACACAACATACGGTATGATGACAATTACAAATCCGACTTGAGCATTATTATTATTATTATTATTATTATTTATCATTATTATTATTATTATTATCATCATTATGATTAATGCGAAAGAAAATCTCGCCAGCGCAGATTAACAGAGCTTATTATTATCATAAGTTTTCTATTTCATAATTCGCTATACCTACGTACACACAGCACGATGCGTTCATATATTTATTTATATTATATGTCAATTGTAGGCTAATTATTTGTAATTGTAATTTTTTTTTTTTCAATCATTATTATTATAATTTTGTGCTTAATTATTATCGTTTACGTTTATATTTTATTATATATGTACGTTTATGCACGACATGCAGCACATACATCGATGTACACACGAAAACAACGTTTTATATCGCGCGTCTGTATCGCAAAAAAAAAGAAAATGAAGAAATTATTACCATCGCTCGATTTTCATTATAATTTTTGTACTCATTATGATTTTATGCGACGACATATTTTGTACAGAGCAATTTATATATACACACGCGCGCGCTCGAACGAAAAAGAAATGTATGTTTTTGTATCAAGCTTGACGTATCGATTATAATTTGTTGGCAAGAAAATTTTGTTTTTCAAATCAAAAAATTGATCACTGCATTTATTATTTTATTTTCACCTGCACCTCGTCCTGCATCACATTACATATCTCTCTTTATTTTCGTCGTTTAATCGCTGAGCACCCCTTATTATATACAAGCCTATTAACAATTATTAGCCATTCCACGAGAATCGCCATTGACAAGTATTATGAATTAAAAATTAAAAACAGCAGCATCGTCACGATCACGTCCAGCAGCATCAGCAGCAGCAGCAAGTGTCGATCGTCGGCGACGAAGCCAACTCGGAGGAGTCGGACGAGCTGGCGCTGCGCGAGTCGCGCTACTGGGCCTGTCTGCGCTCGGGCCAGGCCCGTTTCTCGGGGCCGCTGGCCGAGCGCCGCGACGTCCTCGCAGCCGCCGACCACATGATCCTCTTCCAGAATCTCGACGAGCTGCTGCGCATCTCCGAGGAGATCAGGGACGAGGGCGCCCGACCCTCGAGCTACCTGGCCAGGGTCGGGCGCATCGTCGCCGCCTACAGGCGCTACCTGGGCGGGCTGCAGCGCGCCTGCTGCCTGCTCGTGGCGCTGCGCAAAAACTCGGCCTTCGCCAAGCTCGTCTGCGAGCCGAGCGTGCCCAAGAAGCGACGGCCCGATCTCACCGGTGTGCTGCTACAGCCGCTCGAGCACTACAGGTACATAATAATTGGACGATGCGCGTTCGAGTGGGTGATTTCTCGGTCGACTCGACGGGTTAAAAAAAAAAAAAAATATTGAGTATCTGACATGATGATTTTGATGTGGCAAAATTGTCCCTGAATTTTACAACAATTTTTGGGACCCTCTATTATTATTTTTTTTCAGAGGATATTTGTTAGAAATTCGTGTACGAAAAAATCTATAAAGTAAAAATTACAAATTTTATAGTCAAAGATGTCACTCATTAATTATAAAATATGGTAATTTTTCGACTTTTTTTTCATATTAAGGCCGTTAAAATGATCAAACCATTACATTAAATTTATAAATTATTAGTTGATATCTTGAAAAAGCTCTGTGTATGTTTCGGAAGATGAAATTCCGGGTTATACTTGATTAGATTTTATAAAGTTGTGTGTTTTTTTCTACCATATGAGCCTCTGTAAGCATCTCAAAACACGATTTCTGAAAGTTTAGACGATTTTCAATAAAAAAGCTCTCATGTGCTTTTTCGCTACATTCTACACGGAGCTAGGAATTATTTTAATATTTACGATGATTATGAAGTTGAAAAAGATTTGGGCCTCTGAAAAAGGGATATAGACGTTTCCAAAAATTTTATAAAAATTTGGGAAAATTTCTGACTTTTAGAACAATGAGTTTTCCATGTTTGCAGAAAAATGATCGATTAAGTTGATAGAGGATAACCCTTGTATTGACTATGTTCGATCCGTCGATTCCAATGTCGTTTAACGTTTTTCTTTTTGAGAAAAACAATCAATCAAAAATCTCTCTGAAAATGATATTAAATAGTATTTCATTTTATAAATTAATACGATACCCTTTGATGTTCGACGATTTTTACAAGGATAACGATATCGGGCTATTTTCTTCAATTTTGGCTGCAATGTTTTGCAACAAATTTCCAAATGTCGAGTGTTCAAATCTTACGTGATACCTACAACAATTAACCCAGAGCTCTCTCTACACGATGAAAGACCCCAAATTTAATAAAAGCTCCCGATTGACCGTCGATCATCTATTTTTTCGTGCCCGCAACAACAGGGAAATGACGAGGCTGCTGTCGCAGACCGGCCCGCGCAACAGTCCGGCGGTGCGCGACCTCGCCCAGGGCTATCGCGAGGCCACGGCTGCCGCGGGCGTGATGGAGCCGCCCAGGGACACGGGCAAGCCGCTGCTGAGCTTGCAGGAGGTCGAGTCGCGACTCGTGTTCGCTCGCTGCAATCCGTTCGCCCTCGCCGTGCCCGGCCGACAGTGGTGAGTACGATCGATCGAAAAACCAAAAAAAAAAAAAAAAACGAAAGAAAAAATAAATTTAAACGTCGTTGCTCGTCGCTCGATCCGCGCAGGCTCTACGGCGGGGCCCTGTCCAAGGTCGAGGGCCGCCGCCAGCAGCCGCTCTGGGCGCTGCTGTTCAGCGACATTCTGGTGTTCGCCACGGTGTCGCGCGACCGAGTGCTCTTCGTCACGGAGGAGCCGCTGAGGCTCGCCTGCATCGCCGAGGCCTGCTTCACGGTGAGAAAGCGGCCCACCGAGTTCCGTCTGCAGCTGACCACGCAGGTACTTTTTCTTTTCTTTTTTGTTCGTACGCGTTATGATATAATTACGTTCGATTTGTAGCCGGATGACAATCTATAAACATATCATTATCAAATCATGTTCTCATTTTTATATAAATTAGACTTTGTTATATTGATGATTACATTATTCATCGTGATATACACTCCGTAACAATATTATCGTAACAAACATTTTCATGGAAATTTTGTTTATTTTCATTACATAGAGTAGAATTATTTTTGATTCCTTTTTTTTTGTTTTGTAATTTTTAGTGTTGCGCTCAAATACTACTGGTAACTCGATATTTATTTACATTCATCCATACTATGAATGGATCTAAAGAGAAAAAAGTTTCGAGAAAATAAAAAAAAATCCTACTCGATACGATGAAAATAGACGAAGATAGAAGTATTTGAAAATTGACAAAACTTCAATGAAAACTTTTGTTACAATAATTTTTATTGCGGAGTGTATCAATATCATTAAAAATGATGTATTAGAATACGAGAATAGCTCCAAATTATTAATTAGACGGTACATTGTTAAATTAAATGGGTAATAACTTTTCTCTATTCAAAGTATATTTATTATTAAATTTTGTTATAATTGACTCATCTAGATCTAATAAACAGTTCTTAGTATTACGTTCATTAATACAATATTTATATTGTCGATAATTGTTAAAATTAGAACGATCATCGATCGATTTAGACACACTTATTTGCCGCGATATAAAACAATACACTTTTACCCACCCTATATAATTTCGTTTTCTCTACAACTTTTACTGTTTCTTTTCTTTGCATTCGCTCGTGTGGCATTCAAAAAAAAAAAAAAAAAAAAACATATTAACAAAAATAAACGGCAAAAAAAACCACCTCAGCCAAGCGACCCGAGCGCGGAGAGCACGACTGCGAGCACGACGGAGATGGTGCAGTGCGGCGGCACCGGAGGCGGCGGAGCCGGCTGCAGTCCCCACAGCAGGCCGAGGCGGCGACTGCTCGTGCTGCGCGCCCCGAGCCCCGAGTCCAAAGCCGTCTGGCACAATCTACTGCAGCGGCAAATGTAAATTCGTTGTTATATAATATTACAATCATTTTTTCAGTAAAATTGGCAACCAAAAAAAAAATACTAACAAAAAAAAACAACAGCAACATTAGCAACAATGACATATCTCTCTCTCTATTATCTGTATGATTTGATATTATTTCGTATCAGCCATATAGACTACGAGTGACACTGTTTTAGTTTATACATTTTTATTTCATTATTTCTCGTTTTTGGTTTTGGATTTTCTGATCTTTGCCATCACTCTCACGTTCGACTCACGTAATAACTATACACTCACACGCAAACACCCATCATGCGTCAAAAATGAAAACGAACATATTTGAATGCGAGTGTTGTATCCGTATCGCGATACAATGAGACCGAGCAGGCTCAATATTGTTGCGGCACGTTGTTATGATTTTTTTTCTTTCGTTTTAAATTAGTCTCAAGATCGTTTGAGAGTATATCAATTTTATTACAAAATATGCACGTCTTTGCTTGTAAAAAATATCTTCTATGTAGTGGAATTTTCATCGTATGAAAATCCAGCCGTACGAAGTATAAAATGAAAATAATTATGTTACGTTGACTAGAAAAATTAGACAATCCGCAGAACGGAATTGGTTTGAGGAATTGGGTTAATAAAGCTTGGTTCTTTTTTTTCGCTCAAACCCTTCTCCGCCATGCGAGTAGTATAGTGTATTAAAAAAATTCATTAGTCGTAGTGCGATGTTATACTATAGTGCAACTGCATGATTATTATGTAATTACAGACATGTGTACACTGGAATGAAATGATTTATAAAGTATATCAATTTGTACGAAATAGTAAAACCGTAATTCAAATCGACATACAAAATTGATATATTTCGTAAGAGAATTCATTGTAAACCAACAATATTATATAAAAAAAATAAAAATAAAAAAAAACTGTTTTTCAATTGACATTCGAGCATCAAGATTTGATTGATTTACACACGTATACACACACACCATAAACAACGAATGCAAGTCGAACGCATGCAATGCTTTAGAAATAAGAAAAAAAAACAAGTTGTTGATAGCTCTACACGAAACTGCAAGAAACTACGTAGTGCATGCAAAAATTAGATGAAAATTTCTTCTGTCTATAATAAACATGTGATATATTTAGCCTCGTCACCTTCTAATGGAATGCCGTAATCTCGAGTAAAAAGTATAATTAAAAAAAAAGTAAACGAATTCAAAGTAAAACCATTTGACTCTGTATGTCGTAATCTATACTATGTATACCTTGTGAGCACAATTCTTTTCTCGTAAAGTAAAAAGTAAAGCAAAAAAAAACAACCAGAGATTATCGAGATTGACATGAAAAAAGACTCGAGGTGAAATAAAGCTTAGCGGTACTGGAACCGCTCCACCAGAAATCTGGTCTATTACAGAATCTACGTGAACACGGGCTACAGCATCGGCGGCAACATATCCGACCTCGACAGTCCGGACGACGAGAGCCCGACCGAGGACGAGTCCTATCTGCTGGCCAAGAGGAAGCTGCAGCAGCAGAAGCAGCAGCAGCAGCATCAGCGGGAGCTCGATAACAGTCCCGAAGTAAGATTTCAGTCGCATCAATTTTGCTCGAGAAAATTTTTCAACGTCTAATCTCTTACTTTTTCGTGTATAGATTTACAAATCGACGCAGCAGCTCGCCGAGGATCAGCTGGACAACGGCGGCAAGCAGCAGCATCACCGGTCCGCGTGCGACGACAATCTCGACTTCACGTACAATCGGGGTGGCTGCTCGACGTCGGCCTCGACGACGACGGCTACGTCTACCACGGCGGCCCGTCACCATCAGCAGCAGCTCCAACAGCAGCATCGCCAGCAGCAGCGCCAGGACGACAATCATCTGGCCCAGTGGGTGCGCAACTCGCATCAGATGCCGCCCGACCACGAGATGCCCATCGAGGAGTGGACGGCCGAGGAGCTGAGGGCGCGCATGCCGCGCGAGGCCAACCGTCACGATTTCACCGACCGTACGCGATTATTATATTTGAATTATACGCTCGAAAATGCGATCGACCAATTTTATATATACCAAGGCGATGATTTTTCCCCGTTCGCGCGCGCAGTGACCGAGGAGGGCGTGATCGTCAACTCGGACGCGGAGCAGCAGAGCACGGCGTCGTCGGCGAGCCTCAGCACCGTCAAGTCCAACAGTCTGCAGCAGCAGCAGCCGAAAATGAACGGCCAGGCGATAACGCCGAGGGACACCTCACCCAACTCCATCAGTATATGCAGAACCTGTCACAGGTAAACTTTTCTCCGCTTTTTCTTACGATCGTCTCCCCCGTTCCTTGAATTGTGAACTGTATGGACCGAGCTACCTTGACGTACGTATGATTCAACGGGAATGTTACTGTTTGCCTTTTTTTGACGCTGGACGCATTTCATCCGCCTATTAATTATTAAGTCGATTATTTTTTACAATCAACTTCTATAACCATCTGAAGCTTCTACTCTGTCTATAATATATGCAAATCATTTTGCTTGCTGCGCTTATTATATATGGTAGGGGAATTGTAACAGTTCACGGCCCCCCCATTCCGACTCCCTGGAACCCCACCCCTGATCCCTTCCCCTCTCCAAACCAAAGGAGTGGGAGGTTGATATGCGGGATATCTGTTTTACCTGCAGTGGGTAAATACCTACCTAATCAGATGTAGGTGGCTGTATCGGTCATGGGGTTACCTACCTTATGATGGGTGAATATCTATCGGCTGTAGGTGGCTTCGTCGACCATAAGGTTACCTACTTTATCATGGGTAAATACCTACCTAATCAGATGTAGGTGGCTGTATCGGTCATGGGGTTACCTACCTTATGATGGGTATAGTATATTACTGCCCTAGGTCGGGAAAAACAGAAAAGTCCCAGGGCACGTGAAATAAGCGACCGAGGCGAAGCCGAGGTTGATTAGCACGTACACTGAGGCTTTCTTTTTTTCCCGGTATAGGCCAGTATACGATTTTACATACCTCGGGCCCGAAAATAGCAATATCCCGTTTAGCGCAGCGGCCGGGAAATGCTACTTTCGGCCCGCTGGTATGTAAAGTATCTATCAGCCGTAGGTAACTTTATAGACCATAGGGTTACCTACTTCATCATGGGTAATTTAATTACCTACCTAGCAGATGTAGGTGGCTGGTATCGGTCGTGGGGTTACCTACCTTATGATGGGAAAATATCTACCAGCCGTAAATGGCTTTATCGACCATGGGGTTACTAACACAATCAGGGCTATCCGAAAATTATTCCTAGGGAGATATCTCGAAGTTGGGTAGCATATCTATCTTACTGGCTCTCGAACATACCCTATACCGGAGTATTCCAAACCATGAAAATCCACATTATCGCTGATCCGAAGGGTGGGTAGCATATCTATCTTACCGACTATCCAACATATCCTATACCTTGGATTCTCAGACATAAAGTATACATTATCGTTGATCTAGAGGCTGGGTAAAACATCTACATGACCAACTCCTCAACATAACCTATACCGGGGAATCTTAGCAATGAAGATTTCTGATCATGCAACATTAAATTCGAGCATATGGCTAACCATCGAAGGTGCATACTTAGCTCATTTACAAATCGTCGTATATTTTTTACAATCAACTTCTAATTAATGCTATGTCGACATGATCAATAATACCGTTATATATCGTAACGACCTTCAGATCGATAGTTTGGAAGGATCAGATAGAGGTATTCTACCCACTCTCCACATTGACTATGACAGATATGCTAGACTTTGTCGCTTGGAATACCCATAAACCCTAATATGGGTTATGTTCAAGAGTCGGTAAAGTAGATATGCTACCCACCCATCGGATCAATAATAACGTATACTTAATGGCTTGGAATCCCCGGTATAGGGTATGTTCGAAATTCGGTAAGATAGATATGCTACCCAGGTATTCTATATTTCCTCTATAGGGATATCCGGGAAACCCTCAGTCATGTCGGTAACTGCATGGTCGATAAAACCACCTACGGTTAGCCGTGAACTGTCATAGCTCCTATACTGCTCATACTTTTTTTTTATATCTCGAGTAAATTTTTGAATGTCGCTCAAACTTGCCAATCTAGAACGAAGATTTGATCACAATTAAGCTCATCACACGCTTTCGAGCTGCAGTCAGAAAATCGCATCTTTTTTCTCTCTCTCTCTTTCATTTTCTCAAAGTCGATATCGAGTACTTTATAGACAGAAAGGGCCAACGATCTATCTAAATTTAACTAAGGTAAAGAAAAACAATTAATCTTATCGTCGTCGTGCTGTCGGGCGCGCCGCACACCCCATCTGCACAGTAATAACCATCGCAGGTCCGGCTGTCCGACGCCGCCGCTGCTGCTGGCGCGCGACCCGTTCTCGCCGATACCCGCGCCACGACTGCCGCCGCCGGACTACAACAATTGCACGAGGCACTCGTCGAACTTCGGCACGCCGAGATCGTCGTCGTCCTCGTCGGCGGCTCGCAATATCTCGTCGTCGACTCAGACCACCTCGGCAGCTACCGGTGGAACATCCTCGCCGTCGAGAAACAATCGAGCGGACTCGAGTGGATTCGACGCTACGACGTCGACGTCGACGACGGCGGCCGCTTCCGGTGCCCAAAACGCGAACGAGGACGGCAACTGCAGCGAGGACGATCTCGACTGCGATGGTGAGCCACCCTACAGGTGTGACTTTTCATTTCTACTCATTACTTATCCATTTGTTGCCTCATTTTGTTGATAATTATTTATGCGAATATAGAAAAAAAAAAAATAATAGATAAATGCCTAATGCAATATATCTTTTATTCTTCTGACACTTATTTTTCAATTTTTTTTTATTACTATGATTAATGATGATTATTGATAATTGATAATAATTAATGATGAAAATTATTAATTTTTGGCGTGATGTGGCGTGTTTTTTCTGTTTTGCACAAAAAAACTTCACAAAAATTGCCTCTCTATTGAGCCTAGAAAATGACAACGGTATGTATTAAGATACGAAAAAAAAAACTCCAAAAAGATACACATCGTTCAAAAAAAGCTCCCCAATATAGATGTTTTTATATATTGTTATATGTTCGTTTGTTATCATGCATCATTATTATTTGAGTTTTCCGTTCTCTGTTTTCTGTTCTTTCTCTCTCGCTCTCTTCAATCAGCTCACCTCCATCATTCAATTTCATCAAAACTCCAATACGATATACGATCGATACAACTGTACTCTCTATAACAACAACAGTTCATGAAATTATTGCTGTATACTCATCGTTAGTTGTTCATTGTCACGAGAAAAAAAAATAAAATACAATGAGATTGAAGAAAAAAAAAAAAAATAAAGAAAAAAGATGGCTTGCTAGACGACGATGAGTCAGGGAAATCGTGCCAAAAATAATCCGAACTCTTCCCACCCCATTCAGGGCTCTTCGACGATTCGACACAATGAGTAGCCTAGACCAGGAGGACGAGCTCGACGCGGCGGACTCGACGCAGGACTGCGACGCCACCACCGCCGACGACGATCGTCATCGTCATCGGCGCCATCATCAGCAGCAGCAGACGGAAGCCTCGGCCTCGGCGCCGTCGACTCTGCGAGCCTGGACCCTCAAGGCCAGCACCTACGTCGTCAGCAAGATGTCGATATTCGAGCAGCTGTCGACGTCCATGCAGCAGCAGCAACAGCAGCAGCAGCAACAGTCCCCGCCGCAGCCACCCGAACGCACCGACAGCGGCGGCGGTGGCTTGGATCTGCACGCCGTGAACAATTTCTGCGACGAGGAGGTGGCCACGACGACCTCGGGCGCGACCTCGGGCGACGATATCTGGGGCACGCCCACCTCCGGCGGCCCGGACGACGATCACTTTCACGGCAGTCCGGTAAGGAAGCTCGCGAGACCCGTATAGAGCGATTGATTCGAGCTATATGAGGTGGTGAATTGCAACGCTGCGATAAATATCTCGATCGCTTGGCTGCATTTGTATTGGGAAATAATGCGAATCTTCAAGATGGCCGTTTCAATGGCCGATCCTAAGCTTTCGGTATAGGAGTTTGGCCATTAGAACGGCCTTACTTTACCCCCTCCAGCTCTCACGTTACTTCCCAATACAATTTACGTTCGATATGTACTCTGGGTTTTATTGCTTCAATCTCGCAGCACGTATATATACTAACTTTCTCTACTTTTTTTTTAATCAATGTTCAGCTTGTACATTTTCAACTTCCGATCTATAATTCTATCTATAAGCACTGGGTTGATTAATATTTTAAAGCTCAAAAATCAAAATAACAATTGCTTTTGGTTCCGTAAATTGAACAAGAGAAATCTTTACATGTAATCGTGTCAATCATTACGATGAGTCAACGACCTAGGTAAAAAAGAAACATTATAAGCTACTAAGAGTTGTTTATGCTCCAGGTAATAAAATTATTCCAGAGTGGAATTTTCAAATTATTAGTTTGTAATGTCCTCGGAGAATCTTGGATGAATCTTATAAAGCCTATAAAGAGCCCAAAAAAACTTAAAATAAACATGAAAAATCTACTACCGGCTAATTTTACTACCTAAAGCATGAACAAATGAAAAAATCATGAAAGATTCAATCGAGTTTAATGAACAAATTGATTGGGTTCGTGATTATTGGTTTCTTTATACAATCTTGATTCGCATGTGCATCTCTTTGATTTTATTTTGTTATCAACTTCTCTTTCTCTCTATCTATTTTTCTCTCTGCTGTCTTGGCCTGTACTGTCTACGCACGCTAACTGTAATCAATCGTAAAAAAAAACAACAACAACAAAAAATAGCCGCATGATCCGTAACAGCCGACGCACTACTCGCTGAGCCACGGCGAGGACAACTGGGGCCTGTCGGACGAGGACGAGCTGGTCGACGAGGACGAGATCCTCGGCATGGACGCGAGCGACATCGACGACAGCGAGGTCTGCAACATACCCGAGCTCAGCATGGAGCAGCTGCTGGTGGGCGGCAGCTTCGCCGGCGCCTCGACCTTCCGCTCGTTCCTCGGGCGCCATCGTCTCGAGCCGCTGCTCGAGGAGGAGGACTCGCTCTCGGTGTCCAGTGCCGGTGGCGGCGGCAATGCGGCCGCCGGGGCCAGCAACGCAACCGAACGCGTGAACGCGTCGTCGCCAAGTTACAATAAACAGAAGCAGCAGCAGCAGCCCGGCTGGTGGTGACAGAGGTGCGGACCGTCGACGTCGACTAACAATAACAACAACAACAAGAGACTACTGGACGATGTCGGCGGTGGCGGCAGCAGCAGCGAGTTTCGTCGAAAGATCCTCGATCTGCACAGGAAACTGTCGCAGGACGTGCACAACGAGGGCGAGCACAAGATCAAGCACTTCGAGATGGTCGTGAAGAAGGTCGAGGAGAGCCTGGACGACAAGGGCTGCGGTGATCCCCAGCAACAGCAACAGCAGCAGCAGTCGAGCTTCCGGCGCAAATTTCGCCTGAGACGTAGCCTGCTCGGCTTCCTGGGCGCTGGACGAGGAGCCAGCCAGGATAGTAATCATCGCGCGAGGAGGAGGAGGAGGAGAAACGACTGCGACGACGACGACGTCAACGAAGTCGACGACGACGGGGGCGTCGAGGCGCTGCTGAAACTGTGCCAGGCCGAGCGCGATCAGAGCGCCTCGCCTCTGCCCAACAGGTCCAACACCATCGAGATCAGCTGCGACAGTCCCAGGACGGCCGAGCGCCGCTTCTGGCAGCTGCGCGGCCGCAAGAAGGATTCCTAGTACAGGATGGTCGTCGTCGTCGTCGTCGCCGATCGTCGCCGCTCGTCGCTGTCGCGTAATTTGTAGCTTCGACGCGACGACTTTTCATCGTCGCAATTATTAGGCGCTGTATAACGAAGCGTAGCTGCGCATCTCGAGATTTCTTCCTCGCGTGGAAGGACGAATATATACATAAAATATATATTTGTTATGTCGCTGCACAATCGTCGATCATTCTACATTAGAGTGTTTGAATCGTTGAAGTAATCAATACAAACTTAACGTTTACGATCGCGAGACACGATTATAAATAGTCAATTGGTTAAAATATATTATATAACTGTATGCGATGTGTAAAAAAAAAAATGACAAAAACGATTATATTAGAATAACGAAATGAGAAAGAGCTGTACAATTTATCCTAGTTACCTGCGCACTTCGAAGAAGCGAGAATAATATTTATAAAATTGCATAAAAAGTGTACCTACGTAATAGTCATCGATGCTACGACCGGTGTACAATTACAATGGCGATTCAATTGAACAAAAAAAATTAATTAATTATCTCGCGCCCTACAGATGTAAATATAAGCATGATAATATCGATTGCCAATTGTTGAAAAAATAGGACGCGACGATCGGTAAAGAGAGTCGCGCGTGTACCGGTATCTGCGCTGCGAGCAAATGATATGCAGTTATTATATTACGTCCATTTAAACTACACTACTGATCTAATTCTTCTGTGAACTCGCTTTCGATTCAAATTTTACAAGCGTTATAAAGTAACTCGAGTTGATCTTTTCATTGTTATAAAAAAAAAACACTTCCATTAATTGTTACTACGAGAGTAATCACGTCCATATGAAAATACATTGTTGGAAAATGTCACACACTTGAATCGAACATTTTTCTAGAAACTAGAGTGCCAATAGTATTTACTGATAGATATCAAAAAGCCTACTTAGTTTTACAGCAATAATTGAGATTAAAAAATAGTACACTCATAATGCGCATATTGAATTATTAACAATTAAAAACAATTGAATATTTCTACATGATTGCAATTAAAAAGCTGCATTTATTATATAAATACGCTAACTTTTGTTTCAAATAACGTAACTATTTTTGTATAGATTAGCACAATTGAAACTAGCCTAAAGTAATTGAATTATTGGTAAATGAAAAATTAACTTTTTCTTTTAGAAATTCTTTAAAAGAATTGTTCTATACTTCTCATACACGAGGTAATAATTAATAAAGCAACTATTAGCTAGTGATTAAAAACTACGTACGTCCAATACTTTTCTGTATTATAGTAGGAATAAAATAATATTGTGTCTGTCAATACAATGAAAATTAAAAGATGATTTCTTGAAAAGTCTTTGAAATTTGTATGTTTATGTAACTCTGTCCATTGTCAAACTAATTTGATTATAGTTCTTTCAAGGAGCATAGCAAACGTAATCTAATTACAAAAAAGTCACTTGATATTCATTAGTTCCGCACGACTGACTCAAAAGCGGCACAATCATCTTCCAATTGAAATTCATGCTTTGCTCCTTCGATAAGATGAACTCAATATTTCAATGAGATTATAGTATAACTGTTGGTAGTGTGTAAATGGCCATTTGGCTGAAAGTATGAATAAAATATTAATTTGTTCAATTATATTTCGTACACTTTACTTCTCTTTAACAAAATATCTACAAAATAACAGGAATTTCATTCAAGTACTTGAATAAAACTTTCATTCATTATCTGTGGCACATATACTTTTAAATCTATTTTTAATCCATCGGGTTTACCCATTTATCCCTCAATACTGCTGTCAAAGTATCTCCACCCATTCTTTTGGGGTCATTTTTGAATGCTATCGTTGCTTCATAGCGTGATCCATTCACTTTTGGAAAAATCAACAGATCTCCATTTTCATGTAAGTAAGTACTATACCTGATTCTGGTTCTGGTAGTTTATCCGGTGCATTCAAATGCACGTTCTTTTGCAAATAGTCTCGGAGCGCCTTCTACTGACTCAGAAGTCGCTACTTCATCAACAAGCTTGATAGCGCCAATATCCGGCCCCTCAGGGTCTAGGACGAGCCGATACGAGTCGTGGATAACATAAACATTGATCCGATCAAATTATGCTGAAATGAGAGTACCATGATCGTAGGTACTAACAGCTAATTTGGCAAATTGAATATAAAATTAAAAAAAAAAATTTATACCTTGGTTTTATTATTAAAATTTATGTTTTGTAAGATAAAAGTGGCATTAAACTTGCCAATCAAGCAATAAGAAAACTGCAATCTTGATTGATAAAATAAAAAATTCTTGGAACAAAGAAATCACCAAAAAATTCGAACCGATGCAGTTTTTATGACCTTTGAATTTATTGCAACCGGAAGTAAACGGACTGGCCAAATACTTTCTTCTTTTTTGTCTATTAAAAAAGTCGGTTCAAGTAACCGAAACTATCAAAGTCCTGCATTTTTTTGATTTTGGGATACGAAATGTAACAAAATCAATTAAAATACAAATTTTTTTTAGTTGTACACGTAGAGCTTTAATTTTAACCTTTTGGTAGCGACATATATAATATTCCATATGTATAATTTGCTTTAATAGTAAGTTTTGTAATTTTTAAATTGATCGATTTAGCTATGTAAATAAATTTGACTTATTATATACTCAAATTGGCCATGTTTGAAATGTGTTTTTGCATAAAAGACAATTTTTTTTTCATGTTCATGAATTTTCAATGTTATCGGGTCTTTAGTATATTGTCAAATTACGTCTATTGCTTTCACTTTGATTCAGCTACATTTATTTTCTTTGTAAATTAGCCATTGGTACCTCATTGATTCAAAGATGACACATCAGTGCTCAGTATTTCTGCATTTGAAGCTTCAACTTTAACTATTATTTTCTTTCCAACGCCAGATTCTGGAAGAGCATCCAATTTTACTGCTAAAACATGAAACATGAACATGGTGTCACTTCAAACGCAGAAAAAACCATCCTTCAGAATCGAGCGCTGAAGTGGCATCTTTCTGCCCGGAGCGCGACATGGCATCTTTTTGCTCTGCTCTGCGAAGCGTCATCTTTCAGAACTGGCACGTCGATATGCACTAAGATTTTTTTTACTTGTATGTGTGCGTTAGTTATCAACATATTTAATGGAATTTTATTTTTAGTAATAACAATTCTTAGTTACACTCAGTTACAATGATACTATAAAGATGAGTTTTTTTGCATTTATTATTTGATGGATAAATATTTAAGTTTTACGAGAGTTTCAGCATCGAAATGCTCAACAACATTTTTTTAGTCAGTTTTTTTTGCAAATAGTTAATTAAAACTGCTCTCTGAGTCTGAATTAGCATGTTGCTAGGCCAAAAAATGTGCCGAAAGTTGTTCAAACAATTTTTTTTTTTATTGAAATAAACAAATTATATGCTTTTCAATCCGGCAATTAAAATCGGACTATTCTGAAGAGAAAAGTTACTTGAAATTTTCCTCTGAATTTTGAAACTACGTGAAAAAAATCAACTTTGACATTAAAAAAATACATCAAATTTTAAAGTAGTCCTCATATTTAAATTGCACACAAACTACTCTCAATTCAACGTGTTTCGATATATAATAAATTAGCCATTTTATTATCTGCATAACTTGAACTGTCTCTAAAATGCTTGCATGTAGTGTTTCACATTTTGCTATTTTTAAGATACTTGACTTATGCTCGTAATATCAATTTTTGAATGCATACGCATATTATTTCCATTAATTTTCTTATATCTAGTAAAACATTTATGCACATTTAATAAATTTAGTAATAGTGGTAAGAGCGTTAGCACCAATGATTCCGACGAAATCTTGAACGATAGTATATTACTGCTCTAGGCCGCGAAAAACAGAAAAGCCCCATACGTGTAATTAGTGGCCAAGGCAAAGCCGAGGCCGATAAACTCGTGCTCTGGGGCTTTTTTTTGCCGCATAGGCCTGTATACTATTTCTCATACACATGGGCCGAAAAATCGCTCTTCCCGCTTTGCACAGCGCCAGGGATGTAGTCACTTTCGGGCCGCTGGTATGAAAAATATATCTACTTACTACAATTCAAGAGACAACGGGTGTAGATGAAATAGTTTTTATAATGATTCAAATAATAAAAATATTATGCTGTAACAACCAGGATAAATATATGTTGTAATGGATTGATGGAAGACATGAGGGTCGAGCTAAATGAACAAATCACAAATCACTTATTATGGCTCAAAGGAGCAAAGATCAAAGAATGTCACTGCTTTTTTTGTCCTACAAAAACTCAACAAATAACTGTGCACTCTGCACATGCGTTATAGTCAAATAGAAAATAATTTGACTTCGATTATTGGGAGAAAACAAAGAGATATACTACAGAGTACAAGAAGATACAAAAAATGATAGCGAGGCGGCATGTTGCGTGATACGCTTATAACGAGCTCGAACGGGAGTGAGTCAGCGTAGAAGAAGTGGAGAAAACTCGTACACCCGGGGTGTCGCCACATCCAAGCCGTCTCTCCTTGCTTCTCGCGCGCACGGCTTGCTGTACTGTCGAGAAAATCGACTGCTCGTCAACGCTCTCTTTCAAGCCAGATGCAGTTGACTCTTCATCAGTACCTACAACAAAAGAAACAAAGAAACACACTCGAAAATAATGTGTCAAATTTAAAATTAGTCTCTGGATGCATGACCTAACCGTATGTGCCACATCATGCCTGTTTCCTCTTTTATAAATTTCAAATTTTTGGGGACATTCCACGAAAATTTTTCGGCTTCATTTTTGATAATTTTTACATTCAGAGTGGAAAATATTTTTCTGGGACTCGTGCATCGATCTATTCTCTCGGTGAATTCTCCTTCCCAAGCTCTGAACTAAACGAATTTTCAGCAGCTTGTTCGAGATCGGTATATGTTAAACGTACTTCAAATAACGATCTAGTTTGGTTGTCGATAAACGCCTCAAATATAAATCTCATAGTTTGATTTATTAAAAATTTTGAGCTCGGTATTGTCCAAGTATTTCCCGTATCCCGCATCTGCAAATTTTCTAAGGTACAGTAAATTTTCAGCAATACTATTGACAGCTAATAAATTCCAGAGTACTATTTCTTTTTTATTCCCCGTAGTAAATGTAAGTTTACCCGAATTAATGTTTGCTGTAATTTCTCCGGAATTTATCTGTTTACTTCTACCATCGCCTCTTTCTGTGCCTATCATAGTGCTACTATTTTGTTTATTATTATTTGATATTTCGTTTGATACTTACTGTTTGTTGGTATTTGGGCATTGTTCCGAAGTTTGCCTAGCCACATTTTCCAAGGGTAGCAAAATGATAAGTCAAAAGCTTTGAGAGGGCTGTCAGAACGGTAGTGGCCCTTCTTTGTGCACCTGTGACGTTTAATCTCGGTTACATCAACCGGTTGAGATGAGTGAGCAGCAGGTGCATTTTTCTCTAAAAATTTCTCGGAAGTTTCCAATCCAGTCGGTTCGATCTGCAATAGTAAATTTTTCATTCTATCTAGCCGATTCGATCTGTAATAGTAAATTTTTCAAATCTTCATACACGAGGGGATTACTCGTGCTTTGTATCGCGTTGTAACTTGCTTTGAATTCTGGACTAGCATTTCTGATATTATGAAAAAATAGTTCTCCTTCATAAATGTTTAAAATTTTCTTAAAGTAGTAAGGGTCAAAGTGATTGGTAACAATGTCACGCATTGTTTGATTACACTCATCAATTTCTTCAGAATTTAAATTTTCAAACCTGCCTATTTCAATGAATTCAAATGGATTATAATCTCTAAGTTCGCTCTTGAGAAGATCTAGACAAATATCCATTTGAGTTTTTGAATTGAGAACGTAATTTCTTTTAGTGAAAATTCTATTTGTTGCATTGGGATCATAAGTATTATTTATTATACTCCGAATCGACTTTTCTAATGCATCGATCTAATGGACTCATTTGACTCGTTTGCCTCGAAATTATAGGTGAAGTTTAATACCTTATTTTTCGGAATTCTAGATGAATCCGGCTCCTCACGACGCTGTCTGTCTTCCAACAGTAAGGTGGTCAGGGTGTTGCTCAAGGCATCAAATTTTCTTTGGGTATCGTATTGTACCTTGATTAAGTCTTTTAAGGAATTGGCTACAGTTATTTGCAATTTTATCAACTCGCTTATTTGAGCACTCAGTTTCTTGATGGCATCGGCCGTCTCTAATTGGATTGCCTCTTTCCTTTCGGAAATGTCCTTCATTTCAGAGTGGCAATTGTCCTCCGACTGATTGTGCTTCGTTACTAAAGTGTGAATAAAGAGAAAGAGAAAAGAAAACAAAACGGGACTCAGTAGATATAACACACACACACACGCACACACAAATACTTCTACAGTTTAATATATGCAGTAAGAATTTTAGGTACCATAATCGGAAATTAAGCAAGGAAAATTACCTTCGGCAGTATCGTCGGCGAAGCGGACTTTTTTCTTTACCAGAGCATTACACTTCTCTGCGTTTTCGAAAGGATTAAAAAGAAAAAAAGAATATGAATATCTTTACACAGCAAAAGCATTAGCACATTGTTTGCATGTGTATAGTAGACTGGATCACTTTGACCTCGTTATTTGAATGTCACCTGGATTCCCGCAGATTCTTAAAGTATAAGTCTTTACAAGAAAACGCTGTACCTACGAAGTCCAAAAAGTGACGGGAACAGGTCTTAATAAACGTTTGAAGTTTAAAAACGTGGTTCTAAAATTTAGCAAAATCCCTCTCAAAATTGCAATCGTATCGTAAATTTCCTACTTTGCAGTTTGCTTTGAGGATAAAATCTATATGGACAATACGTTTTCTAACTTGATTTTTTTGCGAAGAATCGACGCCGTCGTTAGTTATGACCTTGGTCGGTTTTGCTAGTTTTTTTATACAAAAGCAGCTCTATCCAAAACTTTGCAACTTTCAAAATCAGAACACGGCGTTGGAAAGGTGAGACAAAAACCTATCAGATAAATGAATGTAATATTTTTCGTAAGTAATTATATGCGGTCGTTTCTTAAAAGAAACAAATAACCTCTTCGATTTTTCAATTTTTTTACGACGACTGACGATCGTAAAAGTAGTTTTTTTTGTATGCAAATAATTTTCAAGTACTTAATGATATGTATCGTTGGATTTATGATAAAAAATCCTAAATTTTGGCAGTATCAAACAATTTTCTAAACTATTTCTATTCGTTTGCGACGCCCTCGAAAATAAAATTTCCGAAATTTATGGAAAAAATGGAAAAAGTGCATTTTTTCAATGTCATCGCATTCCTAGGTCAAAACTAACGACGGGGATCAATTTCACACAAAAAATTAAGTTAGAAAACGTCTTGTCAACATAGATTTTACCCTCAGAGCAAAGTAGGAAATTTACAATATGACCGCAATATTGAGAAGGATTTTGCTACATATTAGAACCACGTTTTTAAGCTTTAAACGTCTATCAAGACCGGTTCCCGTCACTTTTTGGACTTTGTAGTTACGCTTTTTTCTCGTAAAGAGTTATACTTTAATAATCTACCGGTATCCTGGTGATATTTAAAAATCGAGGTCAAAATAAGTCGGTCTAGTGTATAGTGTGTAGCAGAGTCAAGAGGGACAACGCCGCCCCGAGCATGTACACTCCCTCCGAAACCAATCACACTGCACAGCCTTGTATTGTTACTCATGAGTGGAGTTGGCAAAATGCACATTTCGCTGTGCACCCATTTATGTACTAACCTCTTGTACTTTAATCATGTGAAAAAAATTTAATCTGTAATTGTCAAGAGTTTCAAAAAGTAATTTCTCAGCAAAGGAAATTAACTCTTCGAAGAAAAAAATTTGATTAGCATTTCAGGGACAAGAAATTATTGTGCTTGGTACACTATCACATGCAATAAATTAATATTCATTCTTTATATTTTTAATAACGGCTCGTCCGTGCCATTCTTTATTATCATTTTTCTTTATCTCGGTATAGCGCGCGTCGCAAAAGTAACGAGCTCCGTCGGATAAAGGAACTCAACGGTGCATGCGTGAACAGCGCCTAAGATTCAAATTGTCCGCACAGCAGTACGTTGCAATGTATAAGTATGCACAGCAGCACATCGTGATATATGAGTTCGACATTAGCGCGGCGCCACGAATTGCGAGACTGCACAGCAATCCATCGCGACGCGTCGTAATGCACGAATCTCAAAATGGCGGTGTAGGTCAACGAGCAAGACGGTGAAGAAGAAGGGGCACGCGCGCCGAAAGAGAAAGATGGAAAATACTTTGTTCCCCTTCGCTTGCTCTCTCGTGTAGCCTCTCCTGCCACCGTCCGTATCCATGTGTAGCGATATGTATAGTATAGCACGCCGGAAACGACTTGGCACGACACGACGACGATTTTCGCTGGGCGAGTTTTCAGACCGATGAGGTTTTTGCAAGAAAAAAAATCATGGCCGTCGTAATATACAGCAATTTTCGCGTCGTTATTGTGCACACACGTCGGCTATGCATTTACCCGCGGTCTCCGTAAAACTCTGCAATCACGAGATTTTACTCTGAATGAAAAGAAAAGGGAAAAGGTTATTGCGACTTGGAAATTTTTCTCAGTATATTTTTAGTCTGAAAAATTACTTACTCTTAGACACCTCATTCATTTGCTTTCCATCAATAGGCGTGCTGGAGTACGTGCCCGGTTGCAATGGATTGGTGGAAGACGCAAGGGTCGAGTAAAATGAACAGCTCTCTTCGCTTCTTGAGCACACAGCTTGATGTACTGTCGGGACACTCGACTGCTCGTCGACAATATAAAGATACTTAAAATTTGATTTATAATTATATTTAGATTGAGTTTATATTTTTGTGAGATAAAAAACGAAAAGCAATTATCGTAAAAAAATGTTTTTCATACCAGCGGCCCGAAAGTGACTACTTCCCGGCCGCTGCGCAAAACGGGAAGAGCTATTTTCGGGCCACGGGGTATGAAAAATAGTATACAGGCCTAAGCCGCAAAAAAAGAAAGCCCCAGAGCACGTGTTTATCGGCCTCGGCTTCGCCTCGGCCACTAATTACACGTGCCCTGGGACTTTTCTGTTTTTCGCGGCCTAGGGCAGTAATATACTATTTTTTTGCGACCAATAATTTAATGAGTTAAAAAAGATAATTAAAAAACAAAAAAAAAAAAAGAAACGAAAAACCAAGAACAAAGACAAACGAAAAAAGAAACAAGAGATCATGTGTTTCTACCATAGTAGGTTCATAGATTGACAGTGAGATTTCCGCCCGTGCCTCAATTTTTTCCAAGATATCGGAAAAAAACGGTCTTTTATAGCTGTAGAAGTTGATGCAGTCATGGATCAGTTCACGCAGCATCTGAGGTGTATCTGAATGCAATTTGGTGAGATCAAGGCTTAAGTGTCCTCGACCAACATTGCGCATAATCATTTCCACGTTAATAAAGTTGGAATGAGGCAGCTCTCCGGCCATCAGTTCGAACAGCACGGCGCCAAATGCGTAAACGTCCGACAGGAAGGTGTATGGATTTTGATCCATTCTGGCAATCTCCGGCGCCATCCACCGTTCTGTGCCGCATCGTTGGCTGTGCTGCTCTGATAAATTCTTCAGAGCTAGGCCAAAATTGCCTATTTTCACGGTAAGATTATTAAGCAGAAAAATGCTTAAACTTTTTAAATTGCAGTGAATTATTTTGTGTGAATGAATATAGGACATGCCCCTGGCAATCTGTCGTCCGATGTCGACGCGCTTTGTTATATCGAACTTAAATTTGGAATTGTACAAGTAATCATTGAGGGAAAAGTCGTACATCTCGATCACGATGGCTCTTGTAGGTTTTGTTTCCTGGCCATAGTACAGCAGTATGTTTGGGTGACGAAGCCTTTTCAAAATTTCCATTTCGTTTTGAAATGCACGTTTCTGCGCGTCGGAATCTCTGTCGTCGTTTTTTAGTGCCTTGACGGCAACGGGACCGCACCAGTAAGCTTCATGAACCTTACCAAAGCTGTTTGAGTCGATAATCTTTCCCACTCGAATCCTCCATTGATCATTTTTCACTGCTAGATACATATCACTCATGGCTTCAAGTAGTAAGTGAAAATTTTTTTCTACAGTTGCTGTTCTCCTGAAATTTCTTTTGTTGTTGACTTCTGTAAAAAACAATAAGATTGAATTGAAATATTTGTAGCAATCAGTGTTTCTATGAAAATTATACTTTATAATTTATTTTCAACGTAATTTTTGTAAACATAAGAAATGAATTATGAAATGGAAAATTCACTAAAATTTCATGAACACCAAAGTTTTTACGAAGAATCGTGGGATTTAATGGTTAATCAAAATGAAAGGAGAAATTCCAAATTTATTAATATAACTATGAAATGTCAAAGTACGATCATCATAAAGGTAATCTCTTGAGAGAGGCTAAAATTTAGTCTGACACAGTGCAAAAGTGACCGAGTATCTTTGCGACAATGACTCGCCACTGGGCCATCGCAACTTCGTGTTCTAGCGCGCGAAACTTGCAGAAAAAAGAACCAACACGCATAATGAACTGATTTGATTTTCTCATCCAATTCACGAGCACTGACTAATATAAACATCAGCTACTGCAGCCAAGCAGACGGCGGGGGGGGGGGGNGGAGGGGGGGGGGGGGGGGGGGGGGGGGCAGCAGCAATGCAAGTCTTACGTCGTAGAGATTCGAAGTGCGAACACGAAGTTGTGACGGCCCAGTGGCAAGTCATTGTCGCACAGACTCGCCGTCACTTTTGCACTGTGTCAGGCTAAATTTTAGCCTGTCTCAAGATTTTTTGTACTCCTTGAGACAAGCAATGCCTTTTTCACGATGCTGTAAAGTTATTTTTTTCAATGTAGAAGGATTTCTGAGCACAATGAAGTATACGGTAATTCTGAAAGAGGAACCTTCCAAGTGTGGTGTTATTTACGAGGTATTTTTACACAGATTTGTTTAATATATCTTCAAAACAAAAATTGTTCTTATTTTTAAATGTCTTGAAATGTTAACTTTCAGTACCAGTATGTTGTGATATGTTTAAGGTCAAATTCAAGGTCACCATCGGATTCCTCGTCGAAAAATACGTCGTATATAGGGTCTTTGATTTTTTTTAACGAATATTCTGCGATATTTCCAGGGGTTTCCATACTTTTGTCGCACCCTGTATATCAGACTTCTGATCGCTTGTGGCTTTGAACTGTTGAAACAATAACTCCTGAAAATTATTGACGACTGTGAATAAACTTTTCTACAGAACTGTATCGGCGAGTGTTTTCCAACTTTTGGGATGGATTTTAGTAACAATCATCATCATCATTTGTAAACTCTATATCTATGAGTTTTTTCATAATCACGTAAAATAGCGTTTTTTCGACTAGCTAGCATAGCAATCCCGTTCAAAGTTTCGAATTATGATTGATTATATCAAGGAAATTGTACCTCTGAGGGTTTTAACATTTCTCTCGTATATTAAAAATTGGAAAATTTTTGGAAACTCCAAAATTTTTATTTTGAACTGAGAATAGCTGCTCCTGTTTCCAATACTTTACGTTTTCAATTTTTTTTTCTTTCGCGTTTTGTGGCGAATGGTGTTTTTAGTTACCTGTCGTAACTTTCAGAGGGAACCAATTGAGCATCAGCACCAGGGTCGCGCATACTTTTCCAGAACATCAATGCTTACAAAAACACCTGAGGAAACTTTTTACTTCGACGCACTAGTGGCCTGAAGGTGGTTACCGAATTGCCGAGGTAGGGTTGCAAGCACTATATGAATGATCGAATTAATAGGTCACTCTAAAATAGTAATTTTATGATTCAAATTACGGCAAAAACGAAAAATCAAAAATAAGTATGCTTTAATATACTTGCAAAGCACTCTTTGCGACCTCTGCGAGTTCGATCACTCCAAAAGTTGGGCAATTATTTATTATGCTGAGCGAAGCGAAGTCATTTCTGCATAAACTCCCATGAATTTCCAATGGTTTTTTGTGACGTGGTACCGTGGGTAGTGCTTGATGGATCGTTTTGAAAATTTAGGGAGTTTATAAGGGGAGCTATGTGGAGATCTGAAGACGTACGGTATTTCGATCGCATAACCCCTTATTATGCAGTTTGAATGCGTTTTTTCCCGAAATTGTGAGAGTTCAGTCGAATTAGGCGGAAAATTGTTTATGATCCGTTTGGTAGCCAAAATAAAATTTAGGTCGCATTATTTTTTTAGATTTTGCATCATAATGCGCTGTTATGCAATTTACAAGCATTTTTTTCCAAATCGAGAGAATTCGACCGGAATTTTTTTATACTCCGTCTATAACGCTGCAGATTGAAATATTTAGGGTCGATTGAATTATTGTCTCCAATGAGAATAGTAATAACCGGATAAAATTATTTGATTATGTTAAATTAAATCAATGGAATTATAAATAAAATGAATGATCACCAATTTGATACAGCAGGCCCTCCGTATTCGCGGATTCAGTATACGCGAATTCTACATTCGCGGAATTTTCTGTTGATACCTTCACTCCGTATCCGCGGAAACCAAATTCGATATTCGCGGTGTTTACCTATTGTTATTTGAGTTGCTTTGGATAGAAATCGTAATTTTTCAAATATACTTTACTTTGAACCCATTGATAACTGAGATATGTAAATTTATTTTTACGATACAAAAAGCTTTGACGCAATATAGAAATCTACTACAACATTGAAAGAAAAAATTTCTATCTACTTTGAGGAAAAAATAAAATGTACGTAATAATGCATCATAGTATAAAATTTTATTACAATAAATTAATAAAGATGTAAACATGTTGAAATAAAAATAAATTTATGCCTTAAATAACGGGACACATAATCTCGCAAAACATGCTGCAACCAAAGATGCCGCTAGTAGTATACATTCCATTATCGCATGCTAATTGAAAAGTTTTATTATTCAAATATTCATTTCTATCATCGCATCGAATCCTATTAACAATTTTTCTATTTTTGATTCACATTAATAAATAAATTACGTTATACCATCAAAAACTCCATCTTTACTCTTAATACAATGAATTCGAGCTAATTTACTAAAGTAGTCATTAAATAAAACAAACGATTTATTGTAAAACGGAAAATATTTCGTGAAACTCGAAACATGGTATTAATAAGTGTGGAACTGAATAAATCTACGATTACATAGACAAAATAATAATGTATTTAAGGATGTATAAATGATACATGTCAGTTTGACCGTCGACGAACAAAAAATGAAGAAAATCAGATAACGGTAACTTACAAGGAGAGCTTTTTAGCTCCGCTAACAATTTTCCATGACCTAGTTAGAACGAGATAGTACGAGAAGACCCCCAAGCAAGTTTAGTAAAGATCTGTGACCCAAAGCTGAAAAGCTCTCCTTGTTAGTACTCAGAGGTAGTTGTTAACTCGGAGACGACGTAAACATGTACTGTTCAATCAACTCTACATTCATACACATTAAAAATTTCTTACCATATACATTCATTCATACATGAATTAACCCCATTTTAACATGCTAAGTCCAAGTCAAAAGTCATTTGTAGGTCAAACCGTATCGCTATATAAATACCAGTTAAAATATACTTCGTAAATGGTGTCACCCCATGATCAATGCAACGCCGCGTCATTCTTGATAATAGATTAAGATGCTAAATATATTAAACAGTTACATCGATAATACATAATTACAACATATAACTTGAGGGTGATACTCAAGATCGCATAACACGTGTGAAAAAACACATAAAAATAGTACATAATATTGACGAACCCTTTCATTGTACAATTTGTCAAAAATGATTCAACGATAGAATATGCCTTGATAGGCTGATGATAGTTATACGTATTCGTAAAAAACCCTTTAAATGTGAGATTTATCACAAATAATTTAAAAAATAGTTAATATTACCATTTAGGTAATGGAAAATTGTTACCTTATCGCAGGAATTTATTATGATTTCGGAAATATAAGCGAAGACAACAACTACTTTGAAACATCAAAATGGGTATTATGCCCTCTCGGTCATTAAAAATTAATACATGATCGTAGAAAACCCTTCGAATGTGAGATTTGTCACAAATTATTTAAAAGTTAGTTAATATTATCATCTAGGTAATGAAAAATTGTTACCTTATAGCAGGCATTTATTATGATTTCGGAAACATAAGTGAAGACAATAACTACTTTGAAACATCCAAATGGGTATTATGCCCGCGCGGTCATGAAAAATTAATACATGATCGTAGAAAACCCTTCGAATGTGAGATTTGTCATAAATTATTCAGAAAATGGGTATTATGCCCGCTCGGTCATGAAAAATTAATACATGATCGTAGAAAACCCTTTGAATGTGAGATTTGTCACAAATTATTGAAAAGTAAGTTAATATTACCATCTAGGTAATGGAAAATTGTTACCGAATCGCAGGAATTTATTATGATTTCGGAAATATAAGTGAAGACAACAACTACTTTGAAACATCCAAATGGGTATTATGCCCGCTCGGTCATGAAAAATTGATACATGATCGTAGAAAACCCTTTGAATGTGAGATTTGTCACAAATTATTGAAAAGTAAGTTAATATTACCATCTAGGTAATGGAAAATTGTTACCTCATAGCAGGAATTTATTATGATTTCGGAAACATAAGTGAAGACAATAACTACTTTGAAACATCCAAATGGGTATTATGCCCTCTCGGTCATGAAAAATTAATACATAATCGTAGAAAACCCTTCGAATGTGAGATTTGTCACAAATTATTCAGAAAATGGGTATTATGCCCGCTCGGTCATGAAAAATTAATACATGATCGTAGAAAACCCTTCAAATGTGAGATTTGTCACTAATTATTTAAAAGTTAGTTAATATTACCATCTAGGTAATGGAAAATTGTTACCTAATCGCAGGAATTTATTATGATTTCGGAAACATAAGTGAAGACAACAACTACTTTGAAACATCCAAATGGGTATTATGCCCGCTCGGTCATTAAAAATTAATACATGATCTTAGAAAACCCTTCGAATGTGAGATTTGTCACAAATTATTTAAAAGTTAGTTAACATTACCATCCAGGTAATGGAAAATTGTTACCTAATCGCAGGAATTTATTATGATTTCGGAAATATAAGCGAGGGCAACAACTACTTTAGAACATCAACGATTTGCAAATTAGTTGTATGATTTAAATAATTTTCTATTTTTATGATCGCCCAAAATTTTTACGCAATTTTAATTATAGGATGTCGCCATAACCAACGATGCTAGTGATAAAGATATTGGCGTGTCTGAGGAGCTTTAAACTTGTGGTTTTCACAATGTATAAATTGTTAAATTATAAATCATAGGATAAATTAGAAAAATTGTTTCACGATCGTAGAAATCCCTTCGAATATGAGATTTGTAACAAATTATTTAAAAGTTAGTTAATATTACCATCTAGGTAAAGGAAAATTGTTACCTAATCGCAGGAATTTATTATGATTTCGAAAACAAAATTTTAGTATGTTGCTATTTAAAGATATATTTTGTTTTAAGAGCCCATAATAGCAACAAAATAGGGGCATATGCCTAATGTGTACTTAGCTTATGAACTTTCTTTTTCATGTAGATGATAAATTCTATTAAAATTTTTCCTATCTCATAATTTGTTAACTAATTTTACAGATGTAATTAAAATCAGATCAAAACCAAATTGCTTCAAGATCCTTCTCACACGATTTTGAGTACAATATCTAGTTCTGTACATTTTACTGGAGGTGCTACTGAATGATTCAGTGAAGAAGATTTGCTCCAACTGTTTAAAACTAACTATTGGTCAACTCATACAATTTTATGTAAGGATTTTTAGGATGAAACAGACTGCAAATGAAGCTAATTTGCATAGTTGATATCTTTTTTAATATCAGTATCGTTTTCAACACATGTATTTATGTTTATTTTAAAGTTATTTGAAAATGCTATGTTGTCTCACCAGAATCAATAATTTGAGGCAAAGTTGCATGTTTTAGGTTACAGTGTGAAAAATCGATTTTTTTTACATTTTTTGATAACTATGGTAGAGTGAATACATTTTCAATTTATCTTATTTAAGGGGACCGACCTGTGTTAAAAGCTTAAATTCAGCTTCAGCTAAAAATAGCTATATGAATCGAAATAGTAAAAATTTTTTTTTGTGATAGTAAAATATGTTCATTCTACACCAGATTGACCAAAAACCACTTCTACCCAAGCTCTGAAATACCAATTACATCACTTTTTTCAGAAGACGAAATATTGTGTTATAAATCACTTGCCGCATGATCTTGAAAAGAGTTTTTCATCAATATTGATCTATGGGGTCTCAAAATCTTCAGAAAAGTACTCTCGTCCACCTAAGCGGAGCAGAATTTTGAAAAATTGCGTACAACTTTATATACACGTCAAAATGTGCCAATTTTTGAGAAAATTAGTATTTTATCAACACTAGAAGCCATATTAAAGCTCTTGCAAGAAAAACAAACTTTTTTTTTCAAATTCTGCTCCGCTTAAGTGGGTGAGGGTACTTTTCTGAAGATTTTGAGACCCCATAGATCAATATTGATGAAAAGCTCACGTCAGAATCGCGTGGCAAGTGAATCCTATTATAATATTTTGTATTATGAAAAAATAAGCGTAATTGGCATTTCAGAGCTTGGATAGAATTTTTTTTTTGGTCAATCAGGTGTCTAATAAACATATTTTACGATCACAAAAAAAAATTTCCACTATTTCGATTTATATAGCTATTTTTTGAATTTAAGCTTTTAACACAGGTCGGTCCCCTTAATAATGAATTTCTAATTGAATGGATATGTATGGAGGTTAGAGTTCATTTCCACATCTAGACACAATTGAGGTTATGTTTTACACTTTAATGTAAAATTTTTGCGAACGCAAACGCCATAATTGATTCGACCTAGCTTGGGTTACATAACGTAAGTTTTTATACTCAATTATAAAAAAAACTATAGGAACTACGATTCGGTAACTTATGTTTGCATTTTCCAATATTTTTATCATTTTTAAAATTATCCACCAAATTTTTTCTAATGATTTTTAATATTTTATTTTTGAAGGTTTTGACTTCTGCGCCCAGTGGCTACCTGGTTTGCTGTGACAGTCGTATAAAGGTAAATAATAAGGTAAATAATGTATGAATAATCTCGCAAAATTTTAGCTTCAGGTAAAGCCCAACATTCAAGAGGAACTTTGCCGCAAGAAGATATTCGTAATAGCGATTTGCGTAGAAATTCTATGTGTCTCCGAAATTTTCAAAATATTGATACATTGAAAATTGGGGATTTTTAGGATAAATTATAAAAATTTTTACATGATCGTAAAAAACCCTTCGAATGTGAAATTTGTCACAAATAATTTGAACAAAAAAAAGACGTCAAAAAACACTTTAACAGCGTTTATGATCGAAGCGAACCCTTCGTATACAAATTTTTGAGAATAAATTCGCATGCGAAAATGTATGAATATAATTACAGTAATACTTGCGCAATTACATCATATCACTTGTAGGTTATATTCACAAACACATAATAAATGTGAAAAAACACATAGAGACAGTACATGATAGAGACAAACCCTTTGAGTAAGTAATTTGTCACAAAATGTTCAGAAAATAGGTAATATGACCTGCTAGGTCATGAAAAATTGATACATGATCGTAGGAAACCCTTCGAATGTGAAATTTGTTTCATCATTTGGATGAAAATAAGACATCGAAAATCACTATAATAGATTTTTTGATCGAAGCAAACTCTTCAGATACAAAGTTTATAAGAACAGATTCGGATGCGAAAATATATTAAATAATTACAGGAATAGTGCATAATTGCAACACACCACTTGAAGTTTATATTCAAAAGCACATAACAAATGTGAAAAAAACACATAAACACAGTGCATGATAGTCATAAACCCTTCCGATTCGACGTTCTTAAGAATTCATTCGGTGTCAGAGTCTTATTTTATTATTAGAGGCACGATTTTGCAATCGCAAAATATTGCCATTAGGTGATGATCTTACTTTTCACGTGTATCGACCATCTAAACAAAGCTGCTTTTTATACACCACGCACATCATTGTACACTGATAGAGTCATGTGATAGATGTGAACTTGTTTGTTCGTTTCCCCGAACAGGGACCCTTGCAAGGTTCTAACATCCGGGTCAGATGTTCCTTGGTTTATTAACGAGGTCTGCTCCTCGGAATTGAATATTGCACATCTGTGCGCATTTAAAAACTAATTAACAGTCATATTTTAGGAATATATATGACTACTATAAGTATATCAGAAAGTACACCATGTGAGTTATTTTGCCGAAGAAATTTTAGAAGTAATATTCTTGCACAATTCATTTGATTATAAAATTCATCTCATATAACTACGCGCTAATTGTTGTACAAGATCAAGATATGAGGTTACATTAGATAAACACTTAAATTACTTAACGATCGCACCCTGCAGCTTAATTCCGTGTAGCCAGACGGTCTTCATACTAGATTTGTATAAGAAAACCATATTCTCTACTCTCTAGAGTGAGCGTTTATTTTCCGCCAAGAAGCCAGTATAATCTCGGACAGAGTATGCGTCTTTCGCTTGAAAACTGAAAACGGAATATAACTATCCAAATAGTTATGATTACATTATCTATACACAGTACATGAATTTTATTCTAAAAATGAGTAAAATTGTAAAATTAGTGAAAGTCTGCAAAAAATAACATTCTACGCGTAAAAAAAATTATGTGCAATATTTGTTGGACGTAGTAACGGTGAGCACATTTTATGCAAAATTTTAATTTGCCTTGTGGAAGAAGGCACATAAAAATGTAAAAAAATCGTTTTAAACGTATAAATTGATAAAGTAAATTTATTGCACAGACATCTTCACACGATCGTTTTTTATCGTTTTTATTAGTACTGAGTCCTAATAATGGAGTAAAATGAATCTCGTGTATAAAATATTTGTTGACAATTATTGGAAATGAAAATATAAGTATATTGTGCAATTAAGCTATGCACAGTTATATCGAATAACCGTAAAATTTTGAGGCTAAGGTTTCAACACTAAAATGGGATACTCGTGTATAAAAATTGATATTTTTGATTACAACAAAATAATTGTATGGCCTAGTAATCGAGCACCATTGATAAACAACTTGGTTGGTGCTGACCACACATTGACAAACCGATGCAGAAAGATTAATTTTTAAATTGGCAATAAGTAGAGTCAAAATTACACACCTTAAAGTCAAATACGTATACTTTTAGTGAAAAAGATCATTTAATTGTTAATAATTGGCTAAAAGATACATAACATTTTCAAAAAATTAATTTTTTTTCGATAGTTGATACTAATTCTTTGCGATGAGTGCTCTTTAAGCATCTAAATTCTAAGGTGGAATCTAGGGTGCTTATTGCGCAAAAGCTTGGTTGGCCATCAAATGGGGTGGGAGCCAGGATTCGATGTCCTTCCTGCAGAGAGGGCATATTTTTTTTTTTAATCGTGGGATGCAATGGACGCACATCCTGTGTTTACAGGGCCATAATTTCTGCACTTTTTCATGTTCATAGCAAACGATGCAACCTGAAAATAAGTAATTCATGTAATAATTGTCGATGAAAATCACTTTTTAATCATACAACGGCCGAATTTTTGCCATAAAAACTTACAAATCGAAAATAAAGAAGCCATTTAACGACGTAGGAGAGAATTACAATGGAACGTTAATTAAGTAATCGAAATTATAATTGGGAAAGGGGCGAGCATTTGGCCGTTAATAATAAAAATTAGCATACGTACAACGGCTAAAAAAATACCAATAAGACTATAAATTCAAGAGGCTTTAGCAATGCAAATTGGTTCAGTATTAAAACGCCGTATGCGCAAGGCTGCAAATGAGTTAGGCAGTGCACAGCGTTAGCATTGCAGATCATAGGTGAAATGTGTTGGACTCTTAATATCTTTTGAAAATGAGATTTTCTATAAACATAAATTAATTTCATTAACTTGTAAAGGGATTTGAGCTCACGGTACACGAAAAACTGCCATTTCCCCTACAATTCAATGTTAAATGGCCAAAACTTTGAATCTCGCTATTTCCCAAGCTTGCATGGAAAACTCACATTATTTTTACCAAAAATCCTATAATTTCATAAATTCTCATCGATTAAAATTTCACGAGAGTATATTTTAACCCCGAAACAAGAATTAAAACATTCTAGGCATACATAATTTCATGTTTGAGGGAGAAATTATATACTATTTAGCATGGTGTATATGATTGCATATTTTTCAACGGGTGTAGTTAAAGATTCGTTTAAAAACTATAACTACACCAGTTTATGATTTTTTTTCCTACAGAAGTCTAAAAGTAGGGAAAATATTTTACAGCAGTTTAGAAGTTGTATATTTGAATTGAAAAAAAATTCATTATTTAAGGGACAGCGAAGTAAAATTGGTCTGAATTGAACAGTTTATTGAAGATTTATCCAAATGACTCAATTGTACCGTAAGATTCACAGCGCTATATTTTGGAAGAGTAAGAAAAGCTAGCCGTATCAAATTCGAGAGTATTTCATAAGTTCAAGTTCGGGTAATCATGAGCTGCATGTTCACCGGGCTCCAATGATAATGGTAGGTGGTGCAATTTTTATGAATAATTATCATCAGTAAGCATAAGTTTATATTATCAAATTTGTACTTACGTCCTGTGATACCTCCTCTTGGACGTCTTCGCCTTTTACCTTGAGCTGCAACGTAAAAAATAAAGTGCACTCAGAATTAAAATACCCTGTAAGTTGAATGGAAAAAGCTTGTGAAATAATAAACTTGCGTGCTAACCATTGTTACGTCTTCTTTTTACTCCTCCAGCAGCTGGTGCATTTTCTGCAGATTCGGGTACGATATCATGATTCTCGTCTTCAGTCTCATCGTCAATGATGATCACGTCGTTGTCACCGCCAGTCCTAACACGATTCTCGCCTCCGAACATAGCGCCAACGATGATAACATCGTTGTCACTGTCAGCCTCATCCTGAATCGCCCTAACAATGTTCTGGCCTCTCACAACTCCAATTACCGTAACCTCATCGTCGGCTGCTTCTGCTTGATTTCTCTGTGGCAGTGGAACTATTAGTGCTCTACCTCGCATTCCCTGGCCAGGTGCAAGAGCAGGTGCAGGGTCCAGAGCAGGAGCAGGATCCAATTGATCATCGAGGACTGTAATAAGAAAGATTATAATTTCAAATGATAAGTTTTTAGAAAAATTTTTACATAAATTTTAGCCAAGTAGCTTAAAATCACACCCAAAACTAAAAGTAAATCGTGCAAGCGACAAAAGTTAACTGATCAAGTTACATCTTTCGATTGCAGAATTTTATTTTTCAAGGTTAGACGTAGTTGTAAAAAGATAAGAGCACATAAAAAGCTTATTTAGGAGCGGTTTTATTGCAATTATCAATGAGAATAATATTTGACGTAATGAAATAGTTAATATCTTTTCCATTCGATCTAGATTAACTTAAAAAAAAAGTTGTCAACGCCATTGAAAAATTTTTTTCGCAAATGATCATATTTGTTAAAATATGGGTAAAAAATAAAACATTTCAAATTGTATGCAATACGGAAAAGGTATTCCTAACGATGTCAAAACAATGAATGAATAACTCACAAATATTAGATAAACATGTTTACCTGGACCAGCATCATTATCGAGAGCCGCTACCCTACATTGAACTGGCTCCTGGACCATTGTACGCAGCCTAGAGGCACGAACACTTCTCATTTCTCCCTTCTGCAAAGTATATTGCCTTTCATTAAACATATTCGCTCAATAAAATAACAAAAAAAAGTTTATTAAATATAATCTTGTTCTCGGTGAAAATATAAAAACTATTTCAAAAATATTTTAAAAATTTATAAAAAAAAGAACAAATTTTCTTGTTTGTAAATGAACCAAAATATAATATACAGCAATCAAAGTATTATTATCTGCGTCTTTTGGATCAAGTCTAGCATTTTTTATCCAAGACAAGCTTATTACGTAGGGATATTTTTAACATACGTCATGATTCAAGGTTGCAGATGTACAACATTCGAGAAATCAAACTGATTATATTCATTTTTAATGAGCTCCGATGATCATGATAAAGAGAGTTTTAAAACATCTCATAATAGATAATTTTTCAAACTTTTTGACACATATATTAATATTAGGTCAATTGACTTTAAAAGCGTGTACTTTTATAATGACGCTTTTCCAACACTTTGAATTCGTACATATCAACGTAATAATCATTTCTAATCATAAATTCACGACCTTTGTGCAGAAAAAATGTCGAAACAAATTTTTATATGAGTTTTAAATCAGAAAACCAGATATCCATAATTTGGAACACTGGCGCAGGCATGTGTCCGGATTATTTCATTTTGTCATTTTGATTTTGGTACATACATAAGTTGTACAAGAACGATTTGAAATTTAGTACATTTTCTTATCGGAACATTTTTAATGATGAAATGATAAATTTTAAAACAGATTTGTAATTAAAAGGTAATAGATTTTTTTGAATTCTCTAAAAAATGAACATTTAAAAAATTAGTTCTGAAAACATTAATACTTAAAACAATAGTACTTGAACATCAGTGCTGAACCATTAGTACTTGAACATTAGTATTTATAGAATATATACTTTGAAAATTTAGTTTTCAATATTATCTTTTTTCATAATTTTGCTAATAGAATATATTTTTGCTTGAATACACTTAATCCCATCTTCTATCATTTCTGTTTTATTTTCTTGCTGTAGTTTAAGTTTTCTTCTAGATTTTTTTTTGATTAGCCATGGATATGTTTATTATATATTCGTAAAAAGATTCAGTAGTCATCAATCCGTTTTCCGACAATCCAATGGTCCATACCTTTCGGGAGTTTTTTACTACTGCTAGAAGTACTGATTCTTTGTAATTATATACATGATCATCGGAGGTGCTTGTACACCTCCTGCACTGTACATAAATAATACAGTAACATAGGCTTTATCTGCGTCACAAATTGAATAAACTGTACGAGCACTTTTGGCTGTGATGATGTCCTCAGCTTTTGGGCACATAGCTACAGTCATCTCATCGCGGTTGAAGACTCTACTTGGTTCCACATATTTAATGCCTTTATTTTCTAAATATTTTGTCTTTGATGAGAACCAATCTTCAATGTCTTTTCTAGCAACGCCACCTCTGGCACGATTCAATCGTTGAGCTTTTCGAATGGACAAATCTCGATTACGTCTACGAAAACAAGCAAACCAATGTCTGCCAGGTTTGTCATCAGTAAATGGAGTCTCCAGTTTTTGTGCTTTTACATAAGCAGCTACTGTGTCGAGCAGATGGGTCGAATTTACAGAAAACCCGATTTCGCCTCTGTATATGATCCACTACCTTATTTTAGCTTCTATTTCCAATGGAAAAACTGGAGCTGGAGAGTTAAAGAGAACAACAATTTATGTACATACAAATAATAACATACATTTGTGTATATAAATACATGTATAAAAAGGATATACCTCCACCAGCCTTTACAGCTAACTTGTTTGAATTGTTTTTTCTTCTTGACAATGTAGCAATTGGAATTCCTGATGCAGCCGACAGTGTTGTCAGTAAAATGTGGTCACAAGCTCTCAGATGATATTTCAGTGTTCCCTTCGTATACTTTTTCCTTTTTGGCCTTGGCTTTTTGACAGCTTTAACCACGCTTTTTCCGCGAGATGTTACTTTCGCCAGCTTTTTCTTTTTATCGTTATGTTTCTTCATAACACCCAAATTTGCTTGATTCAAAATTTAAATCCAAAACAATTAATCAAGAACAGATTTATCGTGATTATCAATGCACGTGTTTATATTATAAGGTGAAAATACAAATTAGCAAGACTCGCGGTAAATTACCGATGGTACAAGGCCGCAGATCGCAGATAGAAATATCTGCGCGTATAATAATTTCAATGAAGTACGAGTTAAATTTTCCTTTTCGTCTCTATTCTCTATTCAAAAGAAATTTTCGGACAATTAAGATGATAAGATTCACAAGTAATAACACAATAAGAGTACTTTATTGTTGACAAACACGTTTTAGGAAATTGTCCGACCGAATACGAATGTTTCTTTATGTGGTCGAGTGATTGAAATTCACGAGTACCCATAATTTGAAAGACTGTTGTGAGCGTTCCATAATACGACCCTTACATTTCAACGTGTTCATTAGACTGACAGTAAGAATAACAATTTTTTACTTTCGGCCCACCCCGGACGGAAAAGTGTTGTTTAATAAAAAAGTTATGGCTTAAAATGTATGAAATTATGATGGCCTCCCATAAGAGCGGGAGCACGTGATAATGCATCGACGTGTTGCATGTTTACCCCTTTACGATGCCTAATCTCATATTCAAAGTCTGCGATCTCACCGAGCCAACGAACGATTTGAGGTTTCTTCGTTTTCAACCAAATTTATAACTTTCCTTTATTTGAGTGGAGTTTTGGACATTTTCGACCGTCTTGAACCGCGTATAACGTGAACTTATCCGCGAATAACGAGACATCGTCGCATTTGGCAATCCGAGTATAAGGGTAAACCGCGTATACCGAAGCCGCGTATAAGGAGGTATGCCTGTACTAAAACAATTTAGACGATAATATTGACACACTGTAAGTAATGGATTTTTCTTATTATCCATAAAAAGTATCAACAAAAGCCAGTACGTTATTTCTATTTCGTGCGTAGACTTTAGTGAAATATCAATCTTTTCACTTTTAAATTTTAAACGAAGCGATTTTTTCATCACCATTCGCATTTCTAATACTTAAAAATCAATAAATCGTACTTAGCTAGAATAAGCAAATAAACTTCTTGAAAAAATTTTGCATTCGTTTGAAAACATCATAGAAAAATTCTAACTGTGAGTATAATTTAGAGTGAAAAATAGTTTTCGCGGGATGCGAAAAACTCAATCGCGATGTATACGAGGAAGCTTACGCCGCTGCTCTCTCTGCCATACTTGCCAGAGGATGCGCGAAGCGCGCTCCTCAATTTTGAACTAAATGTTTCTGAATGTTTTATGACACACTCTTACATGCTTGTTACGATTACATGATAATCCAAATGTTTTTTGACATATTTCACATCTATAAGGCTTTAATTTTTTATGCACTGCGTTGATGTGCTTCTTGACCACTTTTTTGTCTCCAAATGGCTTGTGACATATATCACATTTGTAAGGTTTCAACTTTTCATGCACTACACCGATATGTGTCTTAAGGTAACTCTTATATCCAAATGATTTGTTACATATATAACATTCATGAGGTTTCATCTTCTTATGCACCATATTGACATGAGTCCTGAGACACTTTATTCTTGCAAATGATCTGTGACATATATAACATTCATAAGGTTTAAGTTTCATATGCACTGCGTTGACATGTTCTTCAAGGTATAATTTTTGTCGGAATGTTTTGTGACATAAATCACATTCATGAATGGTCAAATTTTTACGCTTGATATCTTTATTTTTTTTAAGTTGTTCCTTTCCATAACAATTGATAAACGGATCGCTACTCTTAATTTGTCCTCCGTTATTGTCATCAAACTCTTTCCCATTGGCCTCTTTCCCATTTTTCAAAGACTTCAGCGGTCTCGGTATTTGTAAATTTATTTTCTGATGCTACATCAAACATTTCGGGGTTCAAAAATATTACCTCATGAACGCATACGATATCTTGGTCATCCATTTTGTCATTTGAAAATTATTCTTAATCTCTGAAAATTTTCACTTCGTGCCTCTCAAATTCACATATTATTTGCTCGTCAGGGGACTGTGTATTCTCTGAAAGGTCATCATAGTGATTCACCTGTAAATCAAAACGTAACATTCAGTACTTCGAAATAATTGTTGATTATAATATATTCTTACACAACCACGTCAACTCATGGTATGATTATATCCAATGGAGTTATTATGGAAATCTATAGTATAAGCGTTTGTAGTAAAGTCATTTGAAATGAAATAATTCCTTTCATCGGTTGATGATTGATGATACTCTGGCTTATCCTGTAAAAGTATGACACAAATAACAATTAATTTTTCAATTTTAATATGTGATACAAAATAGAACAGAACAGTATTTTTTATTGTCGATACAGATACATAAGGTTAGTTAAGTTTGCACGAAAAGTAGTATAAAATAGTCTTGTAAAGGGTTTTATGAGTAATTTTCAATGGTGGTTTCAGGAAATTTGCTCAAGAATAAAATTTCTCATGCTTACAAAATAAAAATTGGGTTACATTCTAAAAGGGGG